CACTCCACCCGAGAGCTCCCACGGCACAAGTGACGATAGCAAGCAGCATATGGGCTCAGACTCCTCCCGTTCGCCAATCGACACGCCTCTCACATCAATAGAAACTCAAGAACCTGCTAAAGCGGAAGACAGTACGGACAACTCCACTCCCCTAAAGACCTTTCCTAACGAGCTGTCCAGCATCATGTCCTACGGTCAAGCAGGCTTCTGGTTTCTAAACGATTACCTCGTCGACAAGACGGCGTTCAACATGGCCGTTATGTTGAAGCTCACGGGCCAGATCCGCGTGCAGGCTCTGGAGAAGGCTGTGAATCTCGTTGCGGAGCGTCATGAGGTTTTGAGGACCAGGTTCTTTTGGGGTGATGATGGTGATGAGAGGACACCTATGCAGGGTATTAACCCGGCTGATCTAAAGTTGACGACGAAGAAGGTTGCTGATGAGGGAGAAGCTGAGATGGAGTTGAAGAAGCTTCATGATGAGGAGTGGGATTTGAGTAGCGGTGAAGGAGTCAAGATCACTTTACTGTCGTTATCGGATAATTTTCATTTTCTTTTGTTGGGTATGCATCACATTTATATCGACGGATACAGCTTCAGTGTGTTCTTCAAGGACCTCGAAGTTGCTTACACAAAACACTCTCTCCCTTCTCTTTCAGTTGAGTCACAGTATCGCTCCTTTGCACTTCAGCAACGAGAGATGTATGCGAACGGCGATCTCACCAAGTCTATTGAGTACTATCGACGAAGCTTTCCCAAAGAGTTCTCGCCAATTCAGCTTTTCCCCTTCGCTCTTACACCGGCGAGACAGTTCGCCAATGACTATTCTCAGCATGAGGCCAAGATGAGTATCGATCCAGAACTAGCTACCAAGGTTCGACAACTCGCCCGCGTCAATCGCTCAACTTCGTTCCATGTTTACTTGGCGGCCTTGGAACTTCTTCTCTTCACACTCCTCCCCAACATAGAAGAAGTCTTCATCGGTATAGCTGATGCCAATCGCGGCGATAAGAAGTTCATGGGCAGTCTCGGCTTCTTTCTGAACCTCCTCCCTCTACGCTTCAGACGAAAGAGGCGCGGTACTCAACTTAGCTCCATCATCCAGACTGCTCGCGACACAGCATACGGAGCACTTCAACACTCCCAGCTGCCCTTCGACGTTCTTCTTCGTGAGCTGAACGTTCCGAGATCTGACAAGTACACGCCTATCTTCCAGGTCTTCATGGACTATAGACAGGTTGTTCAGGAACGGTCGTCGTGGGGAGGCTGCAAGCTCCATGGGGAGAAGTGGCACAATGCTGGCACGGGATATGACATTGCTTTGGAGGTTAACGAGAATATCACCACTGATACTCTTTTGGGCCTGAGACTTCAGAAGCAACTTTACTCGGAGGATCACACTGCGCTTCTGCTCCGCTCGTACTTGAGTGTGTTGGAGTACATGGTCCAAGGGACAAACAAAGCTGCTGATACTGTGCCACCCTGGTCGAAGGATGATATCCAGGTCGCGTTAGATGCGGGAAAAGGTAAATCAATTCCACCTCCAAACTCTACAATATCAGGTAGCAGATACTTACTATCGTATTAGCACCCGAATTCCAACCCAAGTGGCAGTCAACTATCAGTCATCACATCGACCAGACCATCCAGGCCAACTCTACCAAAGTCGCTCTCAAGGACGGCAACGGCACCATGCTCACATACGAACAGATGGGGAATCGGGTCAACTCCATCGCTCAGGCACTCATCGATTCAGGAACCACGCAAGGCACAGTAGTCGGAGTCTTCCAAGAGCCCTCCTCCGACTGGATCTGCTCCCTTCTCGCCATCTTCAAAGCTGGAGCAGTCTACGTTCCTCTCGATCTTCGCAACTCCATTCCTCGCTTGACTAGCATCGTCAAAGCCTCTCGGCCTTCGCTCATCATCACGGATCACACGACTGACGATAAGGTTGAGCTCATTGGTGCCAAGTACATCACCCAGCTTCAGCTTTCCAAGGTGGTTGATCAGGAGTTCAAGGAGCCTAATCGTGCAAAGGTTGGATCTCTCGCTGTCATTCTGTTCACTAGTGGTTCTACTGGTGAACCCAAGGGTCTCATGATGACGCATACCAATCTCATGTCCTACGCCGAAGTCTCGAGCAAGACCTTCTCCAAGCCTGTTGAAAGCCTCGTGGTTCTTCAGCAGAGTCCCTTCAGCTTCGACTTCTCACTTGATCAGACTGTGGCTGCGTTGGCGAACGGTGGATGTCTTTATATCGTGCCCGCAAGCAAGAGAGGGGATCCCGATGAGATCAGCAAGATCATGGTCAAAGAGGGCGTTACATATACTACTGCTACACCTTCTGAGTATGACCTGTGGTTGCGATACAGTACCAGCACTCTACGGCAATGCACTTCTTGGAAGTACGCCTTCTCTGGCGGTGAGGCAATGAGCCGCAAACTAGCCCGCGGGTTTGGAACGTTGAGCCTGAAGAATCTTCACGTCTTCAATGGCTATGGGCCAGCTGAGACGACGATCCTCTCTCATCGCATCGACCTCCAGTACACAGACCCCGATCTTCCAGACCCCCTTCCCGCAGGTTACCCCATGCCTGGCTTCTCGGTCTGCATCGTCAATGAGAAGATGCGACCTGTTCCTCTTGGTGTGCAGGGCGAGATTGTCCTCGGTGGCCCATGCATCGTCTCTGGTTATCTCAACATGTCTGACGCCACCAAAGACAAGTTCTTGCCGGATACCTTCTTCGGGACCAGTGGAATGGTGTACCGCAGTGGAGATCGTGGTCGTTTATGCCATGATGGTCTGCTGTTCTGCGACGGTCGTCTTGAAGGTAGCAACATGATCAAGCTTCGAGGTTTCCGAGTTGAGCCGGATGAAGTAGAGAAGACTATTATCAGCCACTCCGCTGGTGCACTCTCTCACGCCGTAGTTACTCTACGAGGCACTGAGGAAGGCCGCTATCTAGCAGCTCATGTTGTCTTTGCTCCCGAATTCCCAGAGCAAAATCGAGAAAGCATCATGAAGGCCCTTCGTCAAACTCTTCCTCTCCCTCCCTACATGCGCCCTTCCGTCTTCCAGATCCTTGCCGACATCCCACGCACAGCTCATCTCAAGGTCGACAGAAAGGCCATTCAAGAAATGCCGGTGCAGATCTCTGCCTCCCACGACTCTGGAACTCTGACTGTTGCTGAACAAAGACTGAGTGAGCTCTGGCGTCGAGTCTTGCCTCTTGATCCGGGTTCTCTTTCTCCCGAGTCTGACTTCTTCCTCATTGGAGGCAATTCTATTCTGCTGGTGAAGCTGCAGGCGTTGCTGAGACAGACTTTCAAGACAGCGCCAAAGTTAGTTGCGCTCATGGGAGCTAGTACGCTCGGTGCAATGGCTGCTGTTCTTGAGAGCTGTGGATCTGTCGGTGTCATTGATTGGGACCAGGAGACTGCGCTGCCAAATGGCCTTCAAGGTGCTGTGGCGTTGCGTCCTGTGAACAAGATTACCGACATCACGGTCCTCCTTACTGGTTCATCAGGCTACCTTGGTCGTCATCTCGTACCAGCACTCGTCGAGGACCCCCGAGTTACACGAGTCCACTGCCTGGTGCGGTCAGTGAACAACCAGAAGCTGAGTACCAGCTCAAGCAGCAAAGTCAGAGTTATCGAAAGCGACCTGTCGAAACCAGGCCTAGGGCTTTCTGCATCGACATACTCTCGTCTTGCTGAGGAAACGGATGTGATCATTCATTCTGCAGCTAATCGGTCTTTCTGGGACAGATACGAGGTTCTCAAACCAGATAACGTGGACTCCGTGAAAGAGTTGGTCAGATTCGCCGCTTCTTCTGGCCGCTCGATACCATTGCACTTTTTGTCATCTGGAGCTGTCGAGATTTATGATGGAGATGGTGTTACACCACCTACTGATGGTAGCGATGGTTACGTGGCTACAAAGTGGACTTCAGAGACATTCCTGCGAAACGCTGCTGGTTCAATCGGCCTTCCCGTCTACGCTCACCGTCCCACTGTGAGCAGCAAGGCGCAAACGAAGACGGACCAAGCCTCGATCGTCGACGAACTCTTCAGCATCGTCAAGTCCCTTGGCGTCCGACCATCCTTTGAGGGAGTCGCCGGCTCAGTAGATGTGCTTCCTACCGGTGACATTGTCAAGGCTATCCAGGACTCTGTCTTGAGCTCGAGTGCTGGGGGTGAAGGATACAACATTGTGCAACATGAAGCACATCAACGCGCTTTCGTGGAGGATTTCGCAGGCGTTGTGCGCGCTGACGATAGTTTGAACAAACTTCCTAATATTTCTATCTTAGACTGGTTTGGTAAGGCCAAGAAGGCTGGATTTTCTTATTTCCTTGCGTCTCAGAATTTGGTCATGGGTTCGGGTGAGGGTCACTTGGTGTCAAGGCGTTGATTGGGTTTCTACCTCTAGAGTTTCTCTTATTTATTAGATTTGATACATAATCAGATTGTAATAGTTCATTATAGATCAAGTTCCTAAGAGGCCGTGTTTTATTAAGTCTGATTATGTGAATTCAAAGTTGCCAAGCTGCTGTCCTGTACAAAAGACTGTTTTAAAAGTACAACGTCGAATGATAACACTCGGCAGAATGACACAGGCTATCCACTGCTTCACAGCCACTCTGTGACGGTATCTATCACTAGACTAATCACGGGTACACCCTTTTGCCTAACTATAAAGTTTACACCCTTTACAGGTGTGAGAGAATATTGTAAGGTATTAAATCAACTTATTAAAATATCCCTTAACTAGCACAGGTATTCTAAGCTTGTACTAAATTGCCCAAGTTTTTTCTATTATTTAGGATCAAGATTCCGACTCTTCTTTCCTCCCCTTGTCCCTACACCCTTAAATAAGCCTAGTACTTTTGTTATTCCCAACTTCAACATCTTAGTTGTTGCGTACTCACTGTGAGAAATATCTATCCCTTGTTAAAAGCGAAATATTCGTTAAAGCGCTCATGGATCGACCCGCTTAACCAGTTATGGGTGAATAGTCGGTTTGCTACGCTTATCGATCGTACGTCTTGCAAGATGCGGGTGATCAGTAAGCTTATCATGGTCTGTCACCGAACGCTTTGCCAGGTGTAGGTGATTCGTTGGCTTGTGGTCTTTCGGATCAGTGGGCTTCTGTTGAGCAGTGATTCTTATCATTCGCGGTATATTAGTTAGCTCTCCTCAGATTTCCGGATTTTTACTTACCCTTGAACTGCTCCGAAAAGGAGGCAAGAAAGGAGAATGGACTTGATCCCCAACATTGTTGTTCTCGGTTGGACTTTGCCAGAGGGTTTTACAGATTGTATTTGTATTTGAGATGATCCATTTTTGATAAGAACTTGGTACCCTTATTTATAGAGTAAAAGATACATGTTGTAGCCCGTATGCCGAGTACCCTGTCTATAGTTCACCGGGGATTTAATAGAGTTTGCAGGTTGCACCACGTAGTCGGGTAAGGCGAGATTTTAGCTTCGGCACTCAGGGCCATTAGCCGTGGAAAAGCATGCCAAGACGACCCGAGTATAAGAAAGCCTGCGACCTAATAATTTCTCTAGCCGGGTTCCGACAAGTGTTGCAGAAGGACTTCCAAGTGAGTTGGGGATCGACATCTATACCAAATACTTGTGTTTCTTTGGCCGCTGCCTCTTCCCGGAACAATTCAGTCCTGGGCCTTTGATAGCAATTAAGCCTTACGTTGTGATGGTAGGCTCTCAGCCACATGGCAACAGGTAACAGTTGATTAACAAATACTGATTCATGTTCATAATTTTTACTTGCAAAGGAGTGTCTAATCTCTCCAGGTCAATGCGCACGTGAGCCGTCCCAACTTGCTGGGTATATGCTTGCAACTTCATGTAACGGTAGCAACGACTCATACTCCATAATTTGCCGCTTCAAAAGTATAAATCCTCTCGGCTCTATTATTTTGCTCTACGGCCGTTATGCCTAGGGTGATCCCTTTTCACCAGTCGTTGACCTCGTATTAGCAATTTCAGCTCATATCATAATCGTGTGATTTGGGATAAGTCAATTAATTGCCCGACAAGCACAGATCTTCAGCCTTCGACACGCTATTCATTGTCACTTCTCACTCCCGCGCCAATCTTTGTCCGCCTCCAACTGAGATCACCTTTTCGGGGCTCAGGCTTCTTGAGCTTGGGACTTACTAGGCACTTAGGTCTCGGGCTATTATTCAGTGGAACTTAATTGGCAAGGGCGCTTTGATCATCTCTACAAAGCGAGCAGTGTCATACCAGACCATCTCGTTGCAGTCAAGCTCATCAACATCAATAGCATTACCGGCAATCCTGTGTGACTATTGAAGAACACAGCCCCTAGTTTTCAGATCTGAATAAACATGCCAAGTCTCCCTTTTCAAACCACTCGCGGTCCTTCTTCCAAGCATGGACAATAATATCTCTTCCAACCCTAACAACCCTCTCGTAGTTCTCTCGGCCCCAGGCTGGGAAGTCAGTAGTCACGCAAACAAGATGTGTTCCAACTTGTATAGCGGTCCGAAAAGCAAAGTCTTCGCTGATATCTCCGTATCCTTCGATAAATCCTTTCATCATCCATAGTCCTGCGTCGACGGACTTATATAGCCACAACGCGTACATTTCGGCGATCATTTGCCCAAAGTCTACACTGGGCAGACCTAGTTGCGTCATTTCCCAGTCCACGACGAATACTGGAGTCTTTTTGCCTTCTTCTATGGTAACATTAGGTAGAACAACACTGCCAAAGTCAGCTTTCAAGTCATACGAAAGGATAATGAACTTACTTTCCGGTCCAAAAGTCTCCGTGGATTATCTGAAGGTTATCTATGTCATCCTTTTCTGCTGCGGCCATCTGCTCTACTTGAGTGAGAATATCTTTGGCATCTTTCAGTATGCTTGGATATTCTTTAATCCGCTCATGAAGCCATGCGTAGTTCACCATGTGCCTCACAGCTTGGCCAAACTCGTTCTGGGCTACGAGGTCTCGGTGTTTAACATGTTGAGCACTCCATTTGACAAAGTCCCGTAGCCATCTACCAACTGCTTTTCCGAGTTCCTGGCACTGGGTCTTGAATGAATCTGGCGTAGGAGAGCCATAGTTTTGAATGGCGTAGTCCTTTAGATGAATAGCATCGGACATGAACTCCAATACCTGAGTCGAGCTGGCTTGGTCAAAATGGTATAGTTCTGGTGTTCGTATAACGAAATTATTTGTTTCTTTCGGTACATTGTCGAATGATGAGATGCTCGAAAGGATCTTAAGACTCTCTGTCTCGATAGCACAACGAAGTGGAGGGAGCGCAAACTCGGGCTTGGACGCCATGTAAGTCTCTCCATGCTTGACTAGAGCCTCCTTCTCCCCATTATCCAGAGGCTTCACAAGCTGTGCCTTGTAGATCCAATTTACAGATCCACCCGTGATCTTGTCGAGTTTTAAAACCTCAAACTTGGTGCCTTCGAGTGCTTTCCGGACTTTGGAGTCGATATCGGGGTGTGTTGATGTCATATTGATAGAAGTTCTTGGTGCAGCAAACTTAGCAAATAATTTCACAAGTGGGCTACAATAAGCTCAATGGCCAGTGTCGTTCCTATATAGATGGTTGGTGATGATCGTCAGTCAGCATTATGCCAAGTATTACCACTGACATCATCTGACTGTTATTACCTAAGAGGCTTCCAGATCTCAGGGAATTAGTGGCAACCTTTTCTTGGCTTGCAGTGACTCTTTATGAGACATGCGATAACATAATGGTGTTCAAGCCACAATCGAACTGTCGCATATCACGCTCAATGACGGTATGAGCTTTTGAAAACGAAGAGGTCTATTCTAGGCATTCTATATGTCTATCGCTATTCTATCTCATTAAGTCCACATCGTAAATTCTTCCTGCTCGACGTCTAAAGGTGAGTAGCGTCTTCCTTGATCTTGGCCATCATTCGCTGACCAATCTCAGCATCAACCTTGCTAAACATAGCAACGACAGCCTCTCGCAAAGGAGTAGGTGTACCAGCCAAGCTTCCAACAACATTGCCAACAAACTTCTCCTTCTCAGCGTCATCAAAGACCCTCCTCCACAGATCCCGAGGCTGGACAAAGTCCTCATCGTCAACGGGGATCTCGTTCAGACCCAGCAGTGCGTTAGCGGCGATGCGCTCGTGGTGTGTGATCTGAGTGATGGATTGGGTGGTGACGCCGGGGCTGAGAGTGCTTCGAACGTAGTTGGGATCACCTCCGTAGTTCTTGGTGGTGGTAATACCGTCGCGGACGAAGGGGGCGTATACGGGTGCGATAGGGCGGTTGGGAGGGAGTTGGGCGTAGTTGGAGCCGAGGCGGTATCGCTGGGCGTCGGGGTAGGCGAACATGCGAGCCTGGAGCATAGGATCGGGAGTCATGGCGATACCAGGGACCAAGTTGGATGGTGAGAACGCCGCTTGCTCAATCTCGGCAAAGTAGTTCTCAGGCTATGATCCGTCAGTACTTGTGTCATCCTTGTCTTCCAACGATAAACTTACGTTCTTGTTCAAGGTCATTTTTCCAACCTCAATCAAAGGAAACTCCTTATGAGACCAAATCTTGGTAATGTCGAACAAGGCCCGACCAAAAGTCTCAGCCCTCTCAGGCTCCATGATCTGAACATATAACTTCCAGACAGGGTACTCGCCACGGGCAATAGCATCCCAGAGATCCTCAGTATGGTAATCAGCATTAGCACCAGCCTTCTTCTCAGCCTCTTCAGCAGAGTCAAAGCTGGTGTGGCCAGTCTCGGGACGGAAGTGGAATTTGCAGTATCGGGGGCGGCCAGAGCTGTCGATGAGCTTGAATGTGTGAACGCCGAAGCCGGTGACGCGGCGGATAGAGTCTGGAAGACCGCGGCTGCCGAAGAGATGCATCAGGGTGTGAACACTCTCCGGTTGGTTGACGTGAAAGTCCCAGAACTAAGAACATCAGGTCATGTTGTCATAATAGGCACTTCAGGCAACTCACCATGGTAGCATCAGGTCGGTTGGTAGCAGGATGTCGCTTGTGGCTTCGGTTCAATGAAGGGAATCGCATAGGATCGCGAACGAAGAAGACAGGCTAGCCAGATCAGCAAAAGAACTGCCATTAAGCACAGGATCGATACTTACAACATGGTTCCCGACAATATCGTAGTTTCCTTCCTCTGTGAAGAACTTGACAGAGAAACCTCGGACATCGCGAACAGTATCAGCGCTGCCCTTCTCACCACCAGTGGTACTGAGACGGAAGAGAACTTGGGTCTTCTTGCCAGCGGTGTCGAGGAACTTGGCGCAAGTCAATTGAGCGATTTCAGGGTTTGTGACTTCGAATTCTCCCCAGGCACCAGCAGCTTTGGCGTGGACGACTCTGCGATGTTTATTAGTTGAGTTCTTGTGGACGCTGAAAGCGAAAGTGAAATTGAATGGGAGACTTACCGCTCAGGAATGCGCTCTCGGCTGAAATGGGCCAGAGTTTCGAGGAGAAGAGTATCACCAAGAGTTGTGAGACCGCCGCCGCCAAAGACGGGAAGGGTAGTGCTCACGGAGGGGTCGCGAACAGGCTGACCTACACTAGTTAGCTGTGCCAGGAGATGTTCGCGTCTCAGACCTACCCTCGGTCAAAGTATACACAGGATTAGACATTTTGAAAGGCTGAAATTAAACGTAATGAAGAAGAACAACAGTTTCAATGACGAGAAAGAAACGAGGGAATTCCCCAGCCTTAAGATAAATTTTGCACTTCTCATTACGGCATTGTCAATGCCGAGCCCGCCCCGACAGATAAGAAATGGATCTCATCTCTGCGGGCCTCTGTTCCAACATTTCGATAAGATAGAGGTTATCGCGAACAATCCCCATGCAAGCCCAATCACAGCGGCTACTTTTCTAAGCCGCAATCTAGAGAGTGGACTCGGTGTACCCGGTAGTATTACTGCTTGCGGCTAGTGCACCGCCTGCCGAAGAGCCGCTAAAACTGGACCCCGAGCGAAGCTGTTCTAGAAACAGATACCGGAGCTGACTCGGCATCTTTGTCAGATTCTTTGTCACACGGGTTTTGTGCGGGATTTGCGAGTTTTTGCACATGAGGCTTGACTGTGCCTCGAAAGTGCTCGAGTTTTCGTACGGGGAATACGTCACTGGTTGAACACCGAGAGATCCGCATAGAAGCAAACATCAATGTTACAGCAGAAATGTCGGCATTTCGATGCCGTGAGACGCGTATGTCGGGGATGTGCATCTTGAACATGGAGAAGTTGGTCAGTGACGACATTGCAAGATGAGATATATAAATATCACGGCTCACAAGGTCTTGGTGTTTTGCAATCCAGCAATCACTCAGACTTCATTCGCAAACATCTCAACTACTACAAACTTCTCTACTTCTTCAATAGACTCATCTCATCTCCCTCACTCTTCCAACACCTTCAACACATCTACTTCAGCGTATCAAGTTCAGCAAAATGGCATTTGTTGCAAACGGAAATGAGTACGACTTCATCATCGTCGGCGGCGGCACAGCAGGAAACACTGTAGCAGGCCGTCTCGCCGAAAACCCCCACGTCCGCATCCTCATCATCGAAGCCGGCATCCCCAACCCGCACCAAATCCCCGAAATCACCACGCCCTCCAAGGCCTTCAACCTACGCGGCAGCAAGCACGACTGGGCCTACAAGTCCACCATGATCAAGCGCGACGACTACGAGCGCATCGAAAAGCCCAACACCCGCGGAAAAGTCCTCGGCGGTTCATCTTGTGCCAACTACTTCACCTGGATCCCAGGCTCAAAGCCCACTTTCGACGATTGGGAGGCTTTTGGCGGGGAGGATTGGAACTGGGACGGTTGTGTGGAGTATCTTCGCAAGTGTGCGACTTATCATGATGAGGAGGGGCTTTATCCCGCTGAGCTGGGAAAGATTGGCACGGGGGGGCCTATTCAGATTGCGCATGCTAATCTTGTTCCTGAGATGCAGCCGTGGCGTGATGCTTTGACTGAAGCGTGGATTTCAAAGGGTGAAGTCTTGACGGAGAATATTTACGATGGTGAGATGAGGGGTCTTACGCATTGTGTTGATACGATCCATGGGGGTCAGCGACAGGGAAGTTTCTTGTATCTCAAGAACAAGCCCAATGTCAATATCCTCTATGGCGTCCAGTCCAAGGAGCTGATCATTGATCCTCGCACCAACACTTGTCTTGGTGTCACTGTCATTAACCCTGACACTAAGGGAGAGCTCAGCGTCTTCGCCAGCAAGGAAGTCATTCTGTCTCAGGGTGTTTTCGAAACCCCCAAGCTTCTCATGCTTTCTGGCGTCGGCCCCGCCCAGGAACTCCAGAAGAACGGTATCAACGTCAAGCTCGAATCTCCTCACGTTGGCCAGCATCTCCTTGACCACCCTATCGTTCCTTTCGTTCTCCAAGTCAAGGATGGCTTCGGTCTAGAGGACTACATCCTTCGAGACGGTGCGGCCAACAGCGCTGCTGTCGCTCAGTACAAGCGCGACAAGACCGGCCCTGTCAGCTCTGGTCTCCTCGAACTCGTCGGCTTTCCCCGTATTGATGAGCGTCTCGAGCAGCACCAATCCTACCGTGAAGCCAAGGCTGCCAACGGCGGCCTCGACCCCTTCGGTCCCAAGGGCCAACCTCACTTCGAGCTCGACTTCGTTGGCATGTTCAGCACTGCTTTCCAATGGCACTACCCCGTCCCTGAGAAGGGCAACTACATGACCGTCATCGTCGACCTTTTACGCCCACTCTCTGAAGGTCAAGTCACGCTTAACAGCAACAATCCTCTTGTCCAGCCCAACATCAATCTCAACTTCTTTGGCAATGATCTAGATATCATTGCTATGCGTGAGGGTGTCCGCTGGACCTATGATGTTCTCACCACTGGCAAGGGCTTCAAGGACATTGTCACAGGCGAGTATCCTTGGAGAATGCCCCTTGAGTCTGATGAGGAGATGAAGAGGGCTGTCCTGGATCGCAGTCAGACTGGTTTCCGTAAGTCGAATGTATCCTCATATGGAGAAACCGAACTAACATGACTTACAGACCCCTGTGGTACTGCACGTCTCTCCAAGAACATCCAGCAGGGTGTTGTTGACTCTCGCCTCCGTGTTCACGGCATCAAGAACCTCCGCATTGCTGATGCCTCCGTCATCCCAGTCATTCCTGACTGCCGCATCCAGAACTCTGTTTACATGATTGGAGAGAAGGTGAGATCTTTTTCCTTCCGTTCTTGGTGACTTGACTGACATTTTCCCAGGGTGCCGATATGATCAAGGCTGATCATCCTGAGATCTTTGGTCAAGCTCCTACCAGGGCCAACCCATTCACCAGCCGCCTATAGACACATATAGAAACTTGATTAGAGGCACTAAGATTAAAATTGGTTCGCGCTTAGACATAGCATATAGACTTTGGTGATTTTGGAATAGATGTTTTATTTTACTCTATGACTTCCTGACTTGAGATTGATGTACTGTTGCTCGTAACGGCGTGACGCTGAATCTGCGGTCTGGGGCCGATACTTACCATTAAGGTCAAACTTATTTGTAATAAATGCATCCCTTTCGTTTCTCGCTGGACTTCATAAGTCATGTATAGAAGAATCCTAATACTACTACCCCTCAATTTGGAAATGAGATCTTCATTCTTCGTAAATCATCCCAATGAGCGATATCACTTGAGAATGCTGACAGCATCAGCACCCTAGAGATACGGACCTGTAATTCTTCCACCAATCACAGCGCCTCGGCGCATGACTCACTCCACAATTGCATCATCTCATTCGTCCGTCAGCATCTTTCACCAATGGCCAAATGAAGTTCCTTTAAATAAGTCGATAGACCTGAGAGCCCATGATTGTATGGGGTATCTTACCTCAAAGCTCTTGGAATTATCGTCAAATCTATAACAACTGCTAAGAAAAATGGCATCGACAGCACCGAACTCGATCAAAGTACTACTCCTTACCAAAACTTGCGGCTATCGTCATGATTGCATTCCCGCTTTGATTTCAGCCTTCGACTCACTACCATTCTCCGTAAGCGCGACTGATGATTCAACAAAACTGCTCTCTCTTTCGGGCTATGATGTCGTTGCTCTCGGACACAACACTGGCGATTATCTGACCGAAGAGGAAGTCACCTCTTTGTTGAACTTCGTCGAGAATGGCGGTGGCGTTGTAGGCATTCATGCTGCTACATCCGGGCTGAAGTCGAACGCCAGGTATACCAAGATCTTAGGAGAGGTGTTTAATGGTCACCCGCCGCCACAATGGATGACTCTTGCTGTCGAAAACCCCGATCATTACATCAACGGATATAAATCTCTTCCCGGTCCGGACTCTGCACCAGAAGAGGCTCATGCCTGTCCTGTCGAGACAGAGTCACTTCCAGCGGGGCAATTTCCGTGGTTTGATGAGGTTTATACTTTCAGATCTCATCCCCGCATCGAAGGCCGCACAATCTTGCTTTCAGTGCAGGGTGACAACGAGGAGAGCGCTGAATCGGCCGGCTTTCCGTTGTCGTGGACTCAGACGGTCGGAAAGGGGAGAGTATACTACACTGCTCTGGGCCATTTTGATGAATCGTATAAAGATAAGTGGTTCATGGAAAGCTTGCGCCGAGCTGTAGTATGGACTGCGAAGAGGGATTGATGGCAGGTCCTATAAGAGAAGATATTGGCATACAAACCATTGGGGTGACAGGACGCAGGTAGAGACGAACTAGACACTGTGTCAGTCTCCTCTGGTGGCGTTGCTTGCTCTAGTTCATTAAACAAAGCTGTTTCAAAGCAAAGATTGTGCGCTGTACCTTATATGTAGAGTCGAGAGTCAGGTGATCATCGCAGGAGAATGGTGCCCATTGATAGGACCTTCGATTTCTCGACGAGGTTGTCGTCAAGATTGATTTCCGTGTCTCTCCAGCACGTCGGGGTAATTCCTTCTCCCCCTACGCCAGGTGAGTTGTTTTCGGGCCTGTTTGATACTGCGCCGCCAGGATCTACTCCTAACGCCAACTTGTATCGCCAAGACTAAGAGACCTCTCGTCGGAAGGTCAGTTCCCTGCATATTCACTGATCTTCATAGCTCCTGCATTAAGAATAAACTTTGTCGCCTTTCGCGGGGTCGTATTGCGGAGCTTCTCCAACGTCGGCTTACCACTTTCAAAACTCCCAGCCAAGCGAGCCAAGAAAGATAAGCAACCAGATCAACATTGGGAACTGAAGGATTGTGGGTCAGGAGGGATGGAACAAGTCTTGGCCCGACAGAGCCAAGAGAGCCAATGCTCTGTTGCACAAACACGCGGTTTGAGGTCAGGACCTTTTGTCGGGCCGAGATATCTTTCCTGGCTTGCTCTTGGCGTTGGTGGATTAATTGAGTCAACACTGAATAGAAACAAGGTGGACCTTCTACTAGGTTAAAGATGTTGATTTTCCAGCACAGATCAACGTCTAATTCTTAGCTTTTGCAACCATTAGATCAGCTTTCGGCCAACTGTTTATTTCTCAATATCCCACTTCTCATTAAATTAAGAATTAAACAAACACTAATATTAGTACCACCAAACTCCACTAATGAGCCTTTTAATAATGTCAGCTAGTCCAGCAATTCTGTTAGCCACTTGATGACCTGCGGCTGAGCATCCGGGTTTCCCATGTGCATACGGTTCTTGACAATTCTAAGCGGAGATTAGTACTGTTGAATCGAAGCCCTAGCCACACATACATCAACTCTCTTCCAGATGCTTGATCTGCCAGTTCCATTGAATCTTCGATTGGGCAAAGCCCATCATCCTCGCCCTGTATCAGTTAGCATCAAATCAGAATCTCTCTTTGTACCTCGAATGAGATATAAAACGGATCATCGTCACATACATTTATCAAGAGAAGCCGACAAGAAGGCAACTTTGAAATGCCGGAGAGAACAACTGAGAACTTTTTCTGGCCCTGGCTTACCAATTCTTCGACGCTATCAAAGCCATACTTCAATGCAAGAGCTTCAGTGACGCTATTTTAAGGAGATTAGATAGCTGCTCGCAACTAAAAATCTGGGGATATCCTTACCCGCATGGATATTCATGTCCATCAGCACGAGAGAGCCATTCCGGGCTCAGAAAGTAATGGGTGCCAGCTCCCTGAGCAACAGCCCCGAGAAGCTGCCCCGCGTGAGTAAACGCAATTCGAGCAGCATAGAACCCCCCAGCGCTGAGCCCCCACGCAACTATCCTGTCTGGGTCGAAACAAGCCTGTTCTTTAATCCATTCAATGACAGAAGACCACAAACGATCAGGTGATGAAGCGTCCTTGGGATCAGCGGGGCAGTCAGCTGTTCCCGGGATTTCGCAGAGTACGACGGCCCAGCCTTTTTGCATCAAGCGATCAGTGAGAGCAGTGTTATCCGTGCGGTATCCATCGAGGCCTGTCATGATCAGGATAACAGGGTGCGGTTTATTGCCACGCCCGAGGGGCAGTCGTTGGAGGACGGGGATTTCCAACCCTTCATGATCCAGTCTATGCGAAAATGGAACGAATTTCGCGTCAATAGGGCATTTCATAAGTGCACCTGTTCGTAGGTATATCTCTTTTTGTCGCTCAAACGCGTATCTCTTGAGCCCACCATCTTGCGGTCCCAGGTGAGGGAAACGGCAAATACGAAAGACGCAGGCACTTCTGAGACCAAGACGAACGGCAGTTTCGCTGTCACCTCTCTCCTCAGCCAGTTCCGCCTCAGAGGACAGATTCTCAGCGGTTGAGAGGAAAGCCTCGGTGTAGCTCTCGCTATAGCAGTCCTTAACACCACGCTGTACTCTTTCTCAGTCTTGCCTTGGACCATGTCTGAGATTAACATACCTGTATTAACGAATCGAAGATTGGTAAAAAGTCCTCATAGGCGCCGTCATGAAAAGGATAAATCGATTTCTCGCACTTAAGAGTCCGACGAACTAGTCGTTAGTATTTGCAGGTCCATCAACTTGGGTTTGGGCAGCAGAACTTACACAATACTTACACTTCTTCTCCCATAAAGACTGTATAGATCCATGATGTGGATAGACTATGTTGAATTTCTCTCCAAGGATCCATTCATCCATGTTGCTGGTGTTGTTTGATTGATAAAGTGATTCAATGAGGCTGCAAAGGAAACGCCAAAGGTAGTTTATTTTACTTAATATTATAATTTTCCTGACTTATATATATCATTTTTAATTAGAGCTGAACAACCTTACACGTTGGCACTCGCCAGTTCAAAAGTCCGCGTTTGTTTATCTCGGATTAAGAAATATGCCTTCTCCGAGCAATGGCCGGTGCGCGATGAACTTGACAGCAATGCAGCTTAGCGTGTCGGTAGCTCTAGCCTGGTCCCAAAGAGTGGATAAAAATGTACTACAGCTGAGCTTAGTGCTTTGCTGAACTCGGCTCGGTCTTACGGCCGTACCAGTTTTCGCTTTGAATAGCATCAAAATTCGGTAAACCGGCTCGAGGAGGTCAATAAGACAGCCGCGCCGGTTTCAATTCTCATCGTATGTCCGTTAAATCCAGAATCGCGAATGCCCGATGCAAGTCGTGAATTGCTTCCAAGTCCTTGTCAAGAAGCGGAGTTATCACAAACGCCGATAGTCTACAATTTAATGAATATCTTGATACCTTGTTCACGGCTCATATAAACTCAGGCATTTCCAAAAAAGATTAGAATATCAAGCAACAAGCATTATCTTTCCATTCTAAAACCACACGACGAGTTTCCCCTCTAAATACAAAAATGGCATCTCCTACAACATGCAATGCCTTGAAGCAGATCGCCAGAGACTTCCTACGCTCCCTCGATGACCCCAAGCAGGTCACCCTTGGTTTCGAACGGGCGCGAAGCCTCACCACCAACGACATATCAGTCACGCACGACAGCTACCCATCTGCAAACGGCATCGACGCCTTCCTCGGCGGCTGGGCGAAGGCAAAGCAGTTCATGCCGAAATTTGATATGGAGATTGTCGATATGATTGCTGAGGTTGGCGCCGGCGGCGCAGGCGGAAGAGTCTGGGTTTTCTCCAAGATCTCTGGTGGAAAGGGGGGCGAAGAGCGTGATAGTGTGGATATGATGTGTATCAATGCTGGGGGAAAGATTACTAAGAGCAAGGATGTTCAGCGTGTTACAGTTGCTGGAGAGGTTTAGATGTATACAATGCTTTAAGTTTTCTGTTATAACATAGGGCTACATTGAGGGTGTTTTTCATCGTATTGACATTACAACCTTGCCCTTGATAATCTTAATATCTTGCAATGTAATAAGTACTTGTCTGTCTGCTTCTAATCCAAGCAACAGCAATAGTCTTCTCACATGCTCCGGTCCAATTGTAAGCTCTTATGAGGACCTGTCAGCGAGGGGAATCCCCATATGGGGCAATAAAACGCGTTGATCTTGAGAAGAGAAAGATCAGCAGAACAAAGTCGTCTTCAAAGCTCGATAACCGCGCATAAGTCAACGTATGAAACAGGGTATCAAGGGTTTATCTGTTAAGCTTATCTTGGGATGTGCAGTGATTCCTGAGATGTCAGGTTTGCGATGCATCGATCCTGGCAGCCGCTAGCTTGATTTGGACGCACCACAACATGACGCGTTATGCGCGTCGCGAGAACTACCCTATGCCCGCATCAACTCCCCCGTAGTGATCAGGTATTTCTCCATCCTTCGCTTGCCAAGTTACGGGGAAATTCCATTGTAACATCCGCTTTGACTCTTCGCAGCGACAATCATCCCGCACGCATAACCACGCCAAGTAATAATGCTTATACAGCAACGGTGATATGTCCTTTGCTGACCACTTTTCATCACAAAAAACACTGGGGAGAAGTGGTGATCAGAAAGGCCAAGATATCCACGGATGACCCAATCTGTATAACCGATGAGGGTCCTGTAGCGAACTTGTGATGACAATCGCTCTGGGCATTGCTGGGATGAGACATGAGATCAGCGTGCTTATTGTTGAGTTAATTTTACTTTATTTGTGCTATGAGCGGTATTTGATCTTTTGTCTTGTTGTGATTCGATCCTGGAATCTTTTGTGACATGCACAGTCTTAGATTCAGCTCCTTGCAGATACACTGTGAACTCTACAGATTCAACGATCGCCACGGCACTTTCACAAATTTAAGCCATAGAGAATCAGTAAAACTTAAAAATCTTCTAGAAGTTTTCTTTCCTTCGAGATAGGCAGTGGCGATAGCCTCACGAGGCGATTCTACATCTTGAACAACAATAATCCGCGACCTACCCGATACCATTTTCGCCACGAGTGACGGAATAGCCGCCCAAACAAATTTATGACGTTGCCGCGAGAACATTTAGCGCAGAAATCTTATCCGGAAGGCTTACCCACTAAAACCCCACACACCTCGGCACTATTCCCCAATTATTCTCGGCGCGGGTTGAGAAATCACGACAGCACAAAACTTGGAGAAAAGGGGGGACTCTACTTTTGCGGTGGGTGATATGATCTTACTCCGTATGGAGTATGTATGCTTATGGTTATTCTCGGGTTGTTTTTTCTGGAGTTTTGAGACGACGATACTCCGCAAGATCTGACTCCGTGCTCATTTCGGTTATGTTGCTTCTGTCGACGTGCCGATCACATCTTGACGATCCGTTAGTGATGGCCAACTCTATCTGTCAACAGAAACAATCTTTCCTCAAAACATATTAATGCGGTGTAAGAAGCGTCACATTAAAAATCGTCATTTCTCCAACTCGTATGAGGGATTGATCTAGTCATGTAATGGCACACACACGTACAGGGATAAAGAGCCGAGGGATGGAGCATCTTGATCCAAGGGTCCTTGTCTCTTTTAGGAAATTGTGAAGATCACCAACGCCTATGACGTATCTATTCCGCCAACGTCATTTTACCCATATTTAAAAATTTTCAAATCAACATTATCCTCTATCTATCTACCACCGCCGATAACTCTCACTCTTTTCTGTTAGTAGACCCAGTGTTTCCTTTCCCTTTTTACGTCAGCGGGGCCGCTCCCGCCAAGTGACGTTATTCACGATGATTAGCTACTGTCTAAAAATCTCTTTCGGCTGGAGGCGACCCCTTCACATGTGGTTTATCTAAGGTTATCGGTTCAAGGGACCAGAATTTCTCCTCATCGTACTCCAAGTTTCTGCACCGTGCCAAGTTTTTGGGCCCGAGTCATTCTCGGCTTATCAAGTTGCATTCTTAATTCGTCTCCACTGTATGCTGTGACAATGAACTGAAAAAAAACATTGGAGAACTGTGGGCTTCCTTTTCGTGAAGTGATCCACGTAGACTCCAGAGTTTACTTGGCGCTGGTGTTGCTGATTGTCCTTATAAAGGATTGCGAATCTCCCGGACTTGGATCGAGTCTGAACTGTTATCCAAACATCAAAGAGCTGGTCTTAAGAAATCAGTCATCATGGTTCACGTCGATAACGAGCATGGTGTGCCGCACTACTGGGGCAAGACCGGTAAGGGTCTTCAAAAACTCATCACTATAGTCGCTACCACAGACTTTCTTCTCTTCGGTTATGGTATGTTCCACCAGGTATCTGTGCGTTTGAGCAATCACTAACGGCTGCGTTTCATGTAGACCAAGGTGTCATGTCCGGTATCATTTCAGCTCCCGCTTTCACAGACGATTTCCCCCAGGTTCTTGACGAGACTTACGAAGGCTTCGTCGTCTCCATCTACGCTGTCGGTTGCTTCCTCGGTGCTCTCTTCATCCTCAACTTTGGTGACCGTCTCGGTCGTCGCAAGTCCATCTTCCTTGGTGCTATTGTTATGATCATCGGTGTCATCATCCAGATCTCTGCTGTTCCTCCTAGCGGTGGTGCTACAGCGCAATTCATTATTGGACGATGCATCACCGGTATTGGAAACGGAAGTAAGTTACCACGCCATTCTCAGAATTGAGTGCATTTATGCTAACGTCTCAGTCAACACATCGACTATCCCTACCTACCAGGCCGAGTGCAGTGAGTCTCACAACCGAGGCAAGCTCATCTGCATTGAGGGCGGTAACGTCGCCATCGGAACGTTGATCGCCTACTGGATCGACTATGGCTGTACTTATGGTCCCGCTCCCTTCGTCTGGCGATTCCCTATCGCTTTCCAGGTCGTCTTCGCTTCCATTGTCCTCGTTATGATGATGAAGCTTCCCGAGTCGCCTCGCTGGCTCCTCACCCATGGTCGTCGCGAAGAAGCATCAACGATTCTAGCAGGTCTAAACGGCCAGCCTCGTGACTCCCACGATGTCACCACTCAGATGGCCACCATTGAGAAGGCCATCGCTGCTGCCGGACACAAGGGCGGCAAGACTCCCTTCTCTGCTCTCTTCACTGGCGGCAAGACCCAGCACTTCCGACGTCTCATTCTTGGTGCATCTTCTCAGATGATGCAGCAGCTCTCCGGTTGCAATGCTGTCATCTACTACTTCCCCATTCTCTTCCAGAAGTCCATCGGTACCGATCACAACCTCGCTCTCCTCCTCGGCGGTGTCAACATGATCATTTACTCCATCTTCGCTACAACCTCTTGGTTCGCTGTTGAGCGTGTCGGTCGTCGCAAGCTTTTCCTCATTGGAACAGTCGGCCAGTGCTTGTCCATGATCCTCTCCTTCGGCGCTCTCATCCCCGGTACTGCCTCTGCATCCAAGGGTGCTGCCGTCGGTCTCTTCACTTACATCGCGTTCTTCGGTGCCACTTGGCTGCCCCTCCCCTGGCTCTACCCCGCTGAGATCAACCCTCTCAAGACCCGCGCGAAGGCTAACGCCACCTCCACCGTCTCCAACTGGCTCTGGAACTTCTTCATCGTCATGATCACCCCCGTCATGATTCATGGCACTGGCACCAACGGCTGGGGAACTTATGCTTTCTTCGCTGCCATGAACGCTATCTTCTTCCCCATCATTTACTTCTTCTACCCCGAGACGTCTGGTCGCTCTCTCGAGGAGATTGATCTGATCTTCGCCAAGGGCTACACTGAGAAGAAGAGCTACGTCACTGCCGCTAAGGAGCTTCCTCCTATGGAGGATCACGAGGTTCATGAGAAGGCTCGTGAGTATGGCTTCGGCAGTGACGATGACATCAAGGTGTCTCACTCCGAGTCTGAGCGCGAGAACGGAGTCATGACCGACTCTGCTGTCTAAGGTCGAACTGGCATTCGACATTCTGTTCTAGCTTGCTGGAACCAAATCTTTTGCTTATTATCATGATTTGACGCATCTATAGAAGCTACGATTGTAGCTATGACCTTTTAGATACTCCCATGACTCTAGTAGTCTAGCATGAATACACCTTATAGAAATTACCACCGTTTGAAGTTTGTGACTGTTAACCTGAGACATAACTGTGTATTGCATCAGTGCAAACTCGCCAATAGCTAGGCCATTGCATCACGGTCAGTTTGTGCAGATCATCGGAAACTTACGCGTTGTGTGAGCGCCTAATGCTGCAGTATGCAGTGACCGGACCAAAATTCGGTGAAATAGCCCATTGGCTGGTCGGAGACTTTCATCATCCAGCAGGGTCCTGGTGGAGCTTCGGTGTCGATCTACAAGATAAGACTCCCTCGAGATTAGCAAACAAACATAAGGCAGGATCTTAATGGCGTATGAGGGATATTTATTAGCAGATAGGTGAACCATAATGATTATCGTTTCTCTGCTACCTAGACATCTATCCAGCGAGCCATCCATGTCTGCGTAACCTGCTTCGCCTCATCAACGAGTCCCAAGTCCAACAACAGCTGAACACTGCCTCTAACCGCACTCTCAAGCGCACTGAAAATCCAAGTATGCGTAAAAGTGGCTGCCTCTCCAATGAAAACAGTATTGAACTCCGTCTGGTAAAACGCAGGGAGATATAAATGCTGCTGCGCAAAGATCTGCATCGTAAAAGCACCAGCATGATGCTCATCCTTTTCCCAACAATGACGTTTGTATGTACCCACCCAGTTTTCTTCTACTACATCGCCGTGGAGTTCGATAAGGGCATTTTTTATGTAGGCTAGATGTTCCTCCTCGGACATGGCGCACGCGACTGTTGCCTCGTAGTCGGAGAGATAAGATGCCATCATCGTCCCGGGGCCTGTTGAGTTGATATGCCATGAAGGATAACACACCTGGCCTAGCTGAGGGCTGGTGATACGAGTACAGCCGCCAAAGATAGGGCGATCAAGACGTTCCCAGAAGCGCGTCTTGAACTGAACAGCAACCTTGCAAGCGTTGGCAAACAAGGTCCTATCGATTGCGCGCTTGAGAAGACTTGAGTATCGCGGCATCTTCCAAAACTTCATCAAGTTGAGCGGCACGCTGTTGAGAACATAGTCAAAGTTGTCTACATTATTCGGCGTGCTGAATGGCTCGGAGCCAGTGGGCTTCCAAGACACAGATAGAGTTTTATTCTCGTTGTAGTGCAGACCGTTGACTTTGGCGTTGTACTGAACTCTGTCTTTGATGTGCGGCTCAAATGCAGCAGGTAATCGGCTCAGCCCACCTTTGATGGTGACCCATTTACTAGCGAGGAAGTAAATGGTTTCGTATTCCCACATAGGCCAGTAAATATGTGAGGGCGTGACTTCATCTGTTGTGTTGAGGTCTGTCTTGATCACATCTCGAAGGTAAGAGACTTCAGAATAATCGAATGCTCCATCCTCTTTGGCTTGCTTATACGCTTTGAAGATATTGGTCGCGGACATACGAATGCGCTCGGGAGTAAGGCCTTTGAAGTCATCCAAAGCCTCGATAGCTTCCTCAGCGGCTGTCGCATTATGGTACACAGCTGGGTTTTTGTATGCTGGGTCACTCGCCACTTCAGCCTTGGTAGGCCATGAACCATCTGGGCGCCTGAAAGGCGTATCGACAGGCGTGTTTGGAGAACTTTGGATCCAGTCCCAGAACTCAACTTGAAGTGACTTGTTGCCTGCGTTCATTCCGTTGAGAACGTCAGCTAGCTGAAAGATCATTCGTTGATCCATGAAAGGAAATGTCTCGTTTGTCTCTGAGTCGGTGAGCTCGTACGGAAACCTCATAGGCCCAAGTTCATGGTATTGGCCGTCTTCTGGTGCGGTACCATTCAAGTAAACGGTTCTAACACGACCACCAATTCGTTCAGAAGACTCGAGAATCTTCCAGTTATGGATTCCGACAGAGTCAAGAATGAGCTTGGGGATGAACCGTTAGCTTCGTATTCGGGGTGAGGGCGCATCACTTACTGAGGATAAAAGGCCAGACATGCCACCGCCCAAAATACCAAACGTCTTGTTCTTTGTAGCGGCAACAAAAACATCATCAGGCTGCTTCTGTTTGAGGTATGCAACGCCATCGAACCACAGACTGTCGTCACCGGCAACATCTGCAAACGATTTCTTCTTCGCGCTTCGACGTGCAAAACGCTTGACGACGTCGAGTTTCTCAGACTGGCCGACAAGTTCCCCGTCCAAGAAAGCACTGAGACAACCACCAGAGATATCGTCGGATGTCAGCCAGACAAATCGCGTTGGCCGCTTGTTCTGGTGATCGAGATGGCGCTTCGCCAGAGGATGCTGCCCAACATGCGTCGACCCGATATGATGCATAGACTCCGAGACAGTGGTCTCATCACCGCATGCGCCATAACTCAAAGTCAAGTGCCCGTCGACATCACCGCTGTATTCCACCACAACATTTTGTGCACTGCCGCGGCTGACTTTAGAGGGAGATATGAACTTTACAGAAGGGGAGTTGAGGGGTACTGCCTCGGCAAGTGAGCCCAGGCTACTCGCTAGGGGCCATAGAAAAGCAGAACTTCTCATTTTGAACGTAGAAAGAGGGGGATTTGCCAAATGGCGGTAACCACCAATGTTACGGGGACATGGCTATAGTTAAATGGCTTCACAGCTGCCATTCTTGTCTTAGGACCCGGATCCATTAATTGAGCCCGACTCCCTGTCGGTATAATTCTTACCGACCATGCTTGGTAATACTGCAAAGAAATGCCTCGCGATGCTATCGTGACTGACTCACTGCCAAGCAACGGCTTAACTGCATTTATACTATTTCTCTGGATAAACGTTAATTAGAGTTGAAAGAATAAACAAGCTTATTGTTTAGCGCAATGCATGCCATGCGTCGTCTTGAGATAAGAGATTCGCCGTTGAGATGGGTAGCTCAAATAAGTAAGGATATTCCCGAACTCGGCCGCTTATCAGTTTTGCGGACTACTCCGATTCGTTTGAGAAGTGCCAGAGGCAGGGGTACCGTGACGATAACGGCTTTGTCTCCCAGTTTCGGAGCAGCAACCTTGATGGTTCCCAAGGGTAGAATCCTAGTCGATGGTAATAAAAATTTGACTAGTACAAGGACTTGCGGGCTAGACTGCCGAGTACAATGCAACAACCGATTGGAACCTGTCATATTAAGCTCTATAGGTATAGTTCAAAACTCAATCATCACTCACAATACCAATGGAAGATACACCTTACTTAAATCATACCTTCACGCCCTTTTTTGACATACTGGCATCTCCACTGGACATACCAGTCTCCGCTTTGGTCGCATCCTCGCCCTCAGTTGTCCCTCGAAGCACATTGGGAGCATACGGCTGCTTCCAGTCGTCACGACGCTCAGGGACAATAAATACGTTGAACCACCTAGGAAACGCGAAAACACTCATACACCAAACAAGCAAAACAAGCAACAGATGCGCGACGATGAAGCCAAGGATATACAGAGGGTCGTTCTTGACTTCCTCGAAGCTGGGGTAGGCCAAGCTGAATATGATAGCCAGGATCGGTCCCGACACGTATCGTAGCATTGGTGCCCAGAGGAATGGGAGAGACCAGTTTTTACCATTGCCGATGACTGAGTTGAGATCGTATCTTAGCTGGTTGCCCTAGAGTGCGCACACATATTAATTGGTTTCTTAAAAATCGACTAGGCAAACCCACCGAGTAAAAGTCAAGACACTGATCGCTATCGACTACCTGATGTGAGTATATAAAAACTACGACAAATTAGTGGCATGCTTGTAGTATGGAGTGCAGTCGGCTTCAATCCAGAGATTGAACGTAATGCCAGGTCCATATTAGTCTAAAAAGCACAATGCATGAAATATGAGTGATGAAAGCACTTCAAGGGTGCTGAATGCTGTAAAGATATCACACGATCGAGAACTTGCATAAGACTCCTCGACCTTATTGGTTAAATCATCGATTTTCAACCCCCCAGCATTGCGGCTGAACTAGGCTTACTCTGTCTCAGCCTCACCAGGCATATCCCACGCGTAAGCACGACAATAAAGAAACATCGCGTTGCTACATCAGAGCGCACATAACTGTTTAACTTGTTTGACGTCTTTGGCTGCGGAAGAAAGATATCATGGAGCCAGTCGGACTCGCAGTTGGCCTTGTCGGCCTCTTCAGCACTTGCATGGATGTTATGCAGCGGGTTGACTCATACAGAACCGCTGACCGCGACTCGCGACAGCTCGACGCCCAGCTCAATGCGACCATGCATCTCTTGGAGCGATGGGGTGACGGTGTCGGCATCAGTAAGGGCGAGCTCTCGGACAATCATCACCCAGATCTTGATGACCCGCGCACGTATGCAGTGGTCCAGGGTCTGCTGAATAGTATCAAGGATTTCTCCACGACGTCGAATGAACCCCCAAGCCCCAAGGCCCTTCAGAAGGCTCCGTCGTTTCCAGTATCGGGAGACTTATCTTCGCATGGCCCTAAGATCTCTAGGTGGCAGAAGACAGCATGGGCGCTTCGCGGAAAGCTGAAGCATACAGGCCATGTCCAAGCACTTGCGGGCCTCGTGTCAGATCTCTATAACGTTGTTTCCCCCGATACTACCGGATCAAGCGCCTTAACACGAGCTCCGAGCTTCAAGGATCTATCGATAAGCGCAGGCGAGCCACCATATGCTGTTGAGATTCGTGAGCTACTTGGGAAGATTGAGGAAGAAATGGAAGGTAAGTGCTTTATTGATTATAAGATCCCTGGTGAGGCTAACGTCTACAGCTGATAGGATACGGGATTTGCATTTATGGCTCGGGGCTCCGCCGCCAAATGATGTGTTCAGCGACTCAAACGACAGGCGTGTTGAAGAAACATGCGAATGGATTCTCCGTCGTGAGGAGTTCCTAGAGTGGCAGAAGCCTTCTTCCTCGTCCAAATTACTCTGGATCAAAGGCCCAGCTGGGTTTGGGAAAACGGTCCTTTGCGCCAGAATTGTTCAAGAGCTTGAAAGAACAGCACAAGAGTCCGTTGCGTACTTCTTCTTATCGTCAAGATATGATGGACGTGACGATCCTTTCTCAGCCATCCGAGCATGGCTAACGATGTTGATACAACGCAGCTCACTGGCTCGAGATATCGTGACAAAGGCCCGGTTATCGCAGCACGAGCCACTGGCGAACCTGACAACCATACTACAAGTTTTCCGCGAAGTTGTCGTCGGAGCTCCAGGCTGCATTCTTGTTCTGGACGGATTGGATGAATGCACTGGGATGGCCAATACAGACGCAAAGTCCGTCCCTCATTTTCTTGAGGAGTTGCAAACAACTATCACCAATACTACGGCCAAGATACTCATCTCAAGCCGTGGCGACCCTGTCATACAGCAAGGCATTTCTGGTTTCCCTGGACACAGCGAGTATACCATCATTCCAGACGATGTTGGGCCAGACCTAATGGCATACTCATCTGAACTTGTCAAAGCAAAGTTACCAAACAAGGATGAACCAACGAGAGCCTCTATTGCACAAAAAATGAAAGAGAGAAGCGAGGGTCAGTTCCAGTGGGTCAAGCTTCAGGAAGGGTCTCTGAGAAAGGGACGGAGCAGAAAGCAACTTGAACGAGAGATTGATGAGACTCCGTCTGGTCTTGATAGTCTCTACGACCGAGAATGGAACAGGATCAACTCAATGGGGGACTCGGATAAAAATAGAGCTCTTTCATTGCTGCGATGGACCGCGTTCGCATTGAGACCGTTGACAGTGTACGAGATTACGGAAGCCGTCCTCATAACAAATGACATAGATGAGTTGCCTTTGGAAGAGATGCCAGATTGTTTCGACCGGGATTATGTTGACAGTATGATCCTGGAGCTTTGCGGATCACTGATTGAAGTCCGGCGTGTTTCATCGTCTGAGAGTACCGAAAGCCCCAAACCTATCCATGAATCAGAAGAGGATTCTGTTGGTTTACAAGAAGTTCACTTATCACACTTCTCTGTCAAAGAATACCTCCTCCTCCTCAAGACCTTTCCCGGCACTAATACGTTGCTGTCAAATGAGAAACTCCGCGTCACCAACGAAGATTTCCACAATACTACTCTCGCAAATCATTGTCTTCGTTTCATTAGCTTCCGTGGAGCTTGGGAAATCTTAAAGACAAACAATGATGAAAGACCAGCAAAATACTTCATGTTCTACGCGGTACAGATTGGTCTTGAGCATTGCCAACGCGTGAAGAACATTGATCCGGAGTTACAACAGGCAATCATTTCTCTCCTCGATAGTCGAAACGAGAACTGGCACTTTGTGAAAGAGTTCATGGAGACCAAGATCCTCGGTGATGTACCGGTTCTTCAGGACTCCTCCATAAGCCCATTTATATTTGCAGTCCGGTTTCAACTCAGAGATGCTGTGGAGCACCTCATACGAGAAGGGGGTTTAGACATAAATGATCGATCATTTGCCAATGAGACTCCGTTGTGGCTTGCCTGCCTTACCAAGAATAAGGAAATTGTTGAACTACTGGTTGACAATGGCGCAGACATCAATGCAAGATGCGATGAAGGAGTATCGCTGCACATCAGTGTGGAGGATGGGAGCGACGAAATTACAGAACTTCTCATTTCGAGAGGTGCAGATGTCTCAGTCGTCGATGGTGACGGACGAACAGCACTCAACGTAGCTTCAATGATTGGCAATACCAAGGTAGCTCGGCAGCTTATTGACAGCGGAGCTGATGTATCACACGAAACAAGAGATGGCTTCACACCACTCTCGATGGCTTGTAGCAGAGGACATGTTGAATTGGCCAAGCTTCTTATTAAAAGCGGTGCGGATGTCAATCAAGTTCTGGCCAACGGGTACCGCCCGCTTTTTCAGGCCGTGTGGCACAACCAGTCAGAACTTGCCGAGTTACTGATAGACGAAGGTGCGGAACTACTCGATGGGTTTCAGCTCGACGGCCGGATGTTCTCATTACTTTCTGTGGCGGCTGGTAAGGGATATCTCAACACGGTGAAAACTCTGATAAGCAAGGGTGTCAACCCCATGGATGCCCGTCCATTGCTTCTAGCTGCCTCCTATGGTGGCTGTGGTGGATTCTCAGACTTTATCGACGAAAACCCCGGTTTCCCTCGCTCAGATTATCACCAGGTACTACAACTGCTTCTCCAAAGCGGCGCTGATGTGAACGCCAGTGACGAACTCGGTCATTCCCCACTCTATATGGCCTCTCACTATGGCTTTACAGATGCAGTGGAGACTCTGATCAAGAATGGCGCTTACATGGATATCAAATCAGCTTCTGGAGAGACGCCACTTCATTGTGGTTCAAGGCGAGGGCATTTCGCGGTAGCGCAGCTTCTTATGCAAAATGGAGCTGATATCGGCTCTAAAGACAATTGCGGTCGCACTCCTTTACATCATGCCTGCAGGTCAGGAAATCTTGAAGTTGTCAAACTTGTTATCGGTTCATCCCAAACGCAAACGTTTGGCGAGGCTGACCACTGGGGCTCGACGCCTTTATCCCTTGCAGCAAGGATTGGTAGCGTTGGTATCGTCAAGGCACTACTTGATACAGACACCGTAGAGGTAAATTCCAGTGGCAAGTTCAGCAGGACGACAAAGTGGTGGGCGACAAGCCGCAATCACGATGCAGTTGCGAGACTACTCAGTGGTGCAGGGAGTCATCCAGACCAGGGAACTGACGCACACGAGGGGGAGGCTGTCCAGGAACCGGGGCTAAGGCCGGAAATCTACTGCGATATATGCTGGCTAGATATCTCTGGTCAAACCCATTTACGCTGTGTAGTTTGCAATGGTGGGGATTTGAAGATGTGTACAGCTTGTTTGAGGCTTGGTGGGCATTGCTTTGACCAGACACACCCGACATCGTTGGTTCCAAGGGAATGTGTAAGAAAAGGCTAAGCAATACAACACGACTGTTCTACTGAATGATGTGTTTCGAGACGCATTGGTAAGTTGCCACAACAACACAAATTATACCAACTATACGCCCCAGTAGATGTGAGTCGATAAGCTACTTGTCACTTGTATCTACAAGGAATATGAGAATAAGATGTCTTAAGCTATTACATAAGAAATATAGAGTATTTCTAAACATCCTGGCAAGCAGGACTTCTCTTAGACTTCTCATGTTCTTCGACAAGGTTGACAGTTATTGATATGCGGCTTTTGTTGGTCCTTTACCTTGGATGCTGTGGAGACTTTGACATGCCATTCTTGTAGGAATGGAAGATTACTACAAGGCCGCAGGGATTAACAGGTCTAGAACTACTGACCCGTAGATTTACTTCCGTAATTGTGGGCTTGTAACTCGACTAGTCAAGGTGATTCATCTGTTTAATGGCGGCACAGTCGCGAAAGCCTTGTTGGTACCATGTCCATTGACCGAGAACTCATAGCATCCCTTTGAATGGCTGAATACTGGCTTCAATCATATCATTTCCATGGAACTAACAGCAGATAAACGGCCATTTCATGTACGTAATGGACTAACTCGTTTATGGCAGTTACTCTGATGGTTAGCATTGCTGTAGGCTTCATCAGTAATTTGGTCAAAGAGGCACGGTTGACTCATCAGGCGATAGTGACTTATATATAAGTAGTGGAGGGTAGATGTGTTCTTGCAAAATGTCACTACGACCTACCGAATACTCTTCAGCCTCACAGAACCTCAGATCGAACTTGCCATCAAACTATCAAGATGAAGCTGAGTACGGCTACAACTGTCTCTTGTAGTGAAGTGCCCAGACGCTGACTGATGTGCTATAGTTTCGTCCTTCTTGACCACCTTGGTCGCCGGTAACATGGTGAATGCCAAGTACACCGTCGAAATCCCTGATGATGCCGTCTGGGTCACCAACTGGGACGAGTTAAATGCTGCTCCTCGATTCGGAGGAATTCTCCTCCCCAAGTACGGCGGCTTTGTCATTGAAGTTGATGAGAAAATTGTCCTGGCTACAGATGAACGGATGAGCAAGGAGGTGCTTGACTTGCTCACAGATTTGGAGAAGAAAGACCCGCAGCCTGAGGGCGAGCAGACTACTTCTAACAAGCGAGATGTGGAAATTCGAGGTTATGGAAATAGATGTTCTCACCCTCCTTGCTTTGGTCCGGGGCTTTGCTCTCAGCACTCGCATTGTCATGTGTGCGCTGGGCTTACTGGCGCTGTTTTCAAGAGGGGCCGGTGCATTTGAACCTGACATCTGCGTGGTTGGAAGCTAAGGGGCGCGTCAGGACCTTGCGGCGTTATGGCTGCACAAAGAACCATTTTAGGACTATTTGACAGCAAATAGACAGATTCAGGATTTTGGCAAGGGAACTTTTGAGAGTTGCGCATGGCAAACAACATGTTACGTTATTAGATCGTGCCATTTTCTTCCTATTGTTGGTTAGTTGATTGTTGGTTGTTTCTATAACAGGGATTAGATGGCATTTATCACATGTCTACCTGAATGATGCAGTATGGCCCATATAATCAACAAGACCGACCCCGCTCGTTGCATCTAGAATCTCTTGCTCAAGGTCAAGACGGCTTTCACTTTTGACTTTTTCCCTTTCATCAAGTTTCCACAGACTATGTCTCAACTCAATACGGAGATTCACGAATCAGCCAATCCTGGAGCAACATGCCGCAGCAGCGAAGGGGGCATCGCCTACAAAGACCTCCCCCCAGAACAAAAAGAAATAAGCGACATTCTACGCAACATGGATCGCGATCCTGATCTGATGGGTCTAGCAGACCTCGGCAAAGACGGAGTTTTCCGCTTCCTCGACGCCGATCGAAACATTCATTACGCCGTCCCTCTCCGACCTGCACTTATCAAGGCCCTTATTGATCGTCTCCCCTATGACCCAGAAGTTGAGAATTTCTGGCGGGGAGTCGATGGGACGAAAGTGCCTGAAGAGCAGTGGTATAATCCGTCAGAGGGAATACTCCCTCCGCCATTGACGGAAGATGAGAGGAGGGAGGAGAAGGAGTTAATGGATAAGAATAAAGATAAAACTGATAGGATGCGGGAGGACCTAAAAAGTGGGATTCATCGGGAACGTCTTGTATTTATAGAATCGGACAATAAGCTTGAATAGATCTGGTGTCTCACCGATTTATCGTTCAATTGCGCTACTAGATGACTGCTAGGTGAGACAAGAAAATCCAGGACTTCATTACCAATGCCAAAAGGGCCACTTTATCTGTGCTTGTAATCGGCTCTTTGCGGACGGCATCAATTCCTAAGGATCCGGTCCTTTAAGGGGTTAACGATCGAGGGAATATAGTAAGTAAATAAGCAGAGGCTGGCAACGACAAGAGAACACTTTTAACGAGTTGCAAAGACATATTGAGAAGCCTGATTCCTTTCCCAGTGAAAATGGCAACATATGTAGTTATATTAGCATCCTTTCTATCTCTAGTCCGACATCTATGTATGTATCTTCTAATTAATCACATGGAGGCGTTCGTGTTATGTATAAAACTCCAAAAAGAACCCGCCGAGCAACCTCTCAACAAATAAAAAGTCTCTAACAAAGGAGAATACCGTAAAAGAGCTGTGTTAGTCAGACTAAAATGAAACATCAAATACATGATCAGTGTCGAGGCATTAAAGTGCATTAAGGTAGCGGAGCAAGACGTTTCATAGGATGGAAAATTCAGAAGTCCCAAAGTGTGCCGAAAGCGTGCATTCCCTCTGTATGCATCGCCAACTGTCAGTGAAACTCATCAGACGCTCAGAATAGGGTTGTACGAACCTTCACGGCATCCCTGCATCATTTCATCATTCCCCTTCATGTTGGACGTGATGAAAATGACCTCGGCTCCAAAATTGTTCCACGTATCTCTCAGGAGCTGCATTGTATCTGGTCGACCGCCACGTTCCTTGGTATCCCATAGTATCATTCGATCGGGTTCGATGTTATCGTGGATGAGTCGTGAAATCGTCGGCCCGAACGTGTTGAACTGGTCGGAGCCTATCCATATGAGGAACCTTTGGATGAATTGTAAGAAAAGTATCTTGTTAACCAGACACACGGGCATGCATACCAGTTTTTGCTTTGGATGCATGTTGACAGAGCGGCACCAATACCTGTGCCCGTACAGACGCGAATACCTCTTTTGAACATGGCAGAAGCATGTCCGATTCCGGCTATAAAGTGTCAGTACGTAGATAACACAAGTTACCTAGCAAGTAGTTCATACCGAACTTCAATTCTCGTGTCCAGATCTTTGTAGGTGGGTTCGCAACAAGGCTCTTGGTGAAATCGCCTTGGACACCGCAAACCATATAATGATAAGGAGAATGGCGTCCTTCGCTGATGATACCGAAAGCGTGATACTCCATCAAGGCGGAACGGCCAATGCGTCCAAGAAGCCCTTGCTGCATTCCCCTGTCAAACCGGAGGACGGCGACCTTAGAAGAGGGGATCTCTACCTCTACGGGCACCTGTCGAATTGTGACCCATGGGAGAGCGATCCTGAGCAATACAAGTATCAGTAGTTATTCTTTTTGGTAGGCTGGTAAACTGGAGTCTCTCACAAGATCGTCATGAAAATGGTAAACCAGATGTTTTCTGTAGTGATCAAGGACTGCGCATTTGAATTGTCTTTACCACTGTTGGTATCGTAGGAGTTGCTCAAAACGACAAAAGACCAGGTCGCCTATACCCCAGTCAATACGGTGAGCAGAAAAAACCGATGATGGATGACTTACTGCCAAGCCTAGCCAGCCGGCGAATCGGTGGTACCTCTCGAAGATATTGTGATGATTACTGAGGCAGGATTTTAGTACAATACGTTCGGCGGAACAGGCTTGGACTCACTTTCGGACCCACGGGATTGCGCTCAGCACGGATGTTACAATAAAGATAACGGTGACTATCCCAGTGATGAGCACAGCAGGCTCTCGGATACTGCGGTGACTGAGAATCTGGACGATGTAATACACCAGCCAACTCCAATATGTCAGTCTAGGTCAAGGAGGAACAGGAGAGCTTCTTACGCAGTACCGGATAGTGCACAGCCCGAATGCACTCCTCCAACATGCTGCAGAAACGAAGCTGCCATTAATTTCATTCTCAACGGTGCCCACTGTTCAATGTTAGCCTCTCCATCGACGTAGTTTAGTAATTACGTACACTTCTCAGTCCGTAGATAAAGGCCATATAGAGTATCCGGAAAAACAACTCGTTACGCATCAAGATAGCAAAGAGCAGGTTTCCCAGAACCATAGAGCCAAGATGGTCCTGCGCATATTGGAACTGGCCGACACTGGTAAGGATAATACCAACAAGGTTGAGAGTTACAACGAAAATGAACAACTGCTTATACGTATTGAACCAAAGTACGAAAAGGGTGCTTTTTCTGGGTTCTTGTTTCTTGGCAGGCGGCGGCGTGGTCTTTTGATTGGGGAGAATTGGCAATGAGGAGTCCGATTTGCCATAGTTGTGGAAAGACGAGGTCGATTGGGTGGCGGACGATATGTTACCGTCATGTGTTGGTGGGAAAGCTGCAAGGTGGCCATTCGTTTTCTCGGATGCGTAGACTTTACCCAGTGGTACAAGCGCCATTCCCGAGGTGTCGTGCTGGCCTTTCTCTGCGTCGTTGAACTCGCGGTTGAAGCTGCTCTCCGACGGAGTTTCGTGATAGGGGAAGCGGAAGCTCATGGTGATAGGAAGTGAGGTGAACTGAAGGTGAATTGGGGAGTGATCAGGACGAGCTAAAACCCAGATACAGATCTAAGACACTCTGATATCGATGATATTCCTTCCGATCTTGGGACGATTTGACCGGGATATATAATATATAACTATTTCTCTAACCCCTAAACCGAGACCGAGGCTACTACCTCACTGCCAACGAAGTAAAGTTTTATGCGTCATTCGTCTACGTGTAAGCCACAGACTGCGTGAAGTGGGTTATCTGATATACTATTTAAAGTTGACCACAGCCGAGAACCGAAGTCTATCGCGTGCCTTGTGCTCGTGTTTGGAGCAGGCTGGGGCTCTGGGCGCATACACACGCCGACAGGGGAGCAGAGCCGCCCCCACGGGGGATTTGAACGGCGGATAGACGGGGCCGATAGACCAGGGTGACGATCCCAAGGAGGCGGTCCATCGTCCGATGTCTTTATCCATCTCAGATACAGCGCTTATTATCGCCACATACAGCCATTTAAGCGAGAAAAAACATCATTCATACTTTGACAGCACGTATAAAGTGTTTGTTTCGTTGCATTTAATTTAATCTGCCGATGTGGGATGACGGGCTCCGAGGAGGGTAATTATACGATGTAGTATTTGAAGGTTGAAGTAAAACTTTAGAGCCCTATTGATATGATCCCGAACTCCGACAGCTCCACTGCTGCAAATGCCGGGCTGCTATTCCGTATCCAGGAACGAAATGGAGAACCCCACCCAACGTTAAATAATGGATACATAAGATTTGGATCCGCGTTTACAAAATGCAAATTTCATTAAAGACGAGAAGCAATAGGTCATTTATTGGGAAGCGGAGCTTAGAGGAACTCTATATAATAAATAAACTTATGGCTTTCAAGAGACAACAGTCAAAGGCAGCGTCTTTGTACGAAGTACGTGTGAGTTCAAGGTATATGTAACTGAAAATGATGCCATCCGAGAGTTACTACACCTGTTCCCATACAACACCGATGTCCTTAAAGTTAACTGCTAGCCGGAACGTTCTCTCTGTTTTTACACGTTTCATCCGGCGGCCCGTCAGAAGGGCAGAGGCCCCTGCTAGCCGGAACTCTATAGGTGCTGTCGTATTATACCCGGAAACGGCAGATATGTCTTGGGTCGTCAGGTACCGACGTATGCATGCAGATCAAACGCCGGCCCCGTTTATACCTTGTCGCTCAGCTTGAGATACTGATAACTGACCTTTGTATAGCTAGCCCTACGGTTGCTTCGTAAAGCATACCATTTGATACGTCGACGCAGGCCGTGGGACCCGAGGGACCATGCAGCTGAAACATACGTCATGAGTGTTTAGAGAAGAGTGTCGCAGCAGAAAAAATTAAGGCGGTCAGAGCGATGCTTTGACGAGGAGGGAGCTGCATGACTCCGCTGTTCCCGGGAATGTCGCTTGCAAATGCAGATAGGAGAAGTAGGCAGTAACTGCCCGGTTTCCGTGGTGTTCCGGGAGGCAGCCGGGGGTTGCAAAGAAGAGGCTCGTTCGGTGATATGCCGCTTCTGAGCTGTGAGCCATTCGGTACCCGCGCATCAAAACAACGTGTGCTAGAAGGCTCAGCATTTAACCTTCGAGATGCCATTCTCACATTTCCTTTAGGCGAGGGGCTACCGTTTTTGCAATGGAAGACATTGGTTGTGTGTATCTCCATTATTTCTCCGCTAACTTTCATCCGGACTCTGAAGTGGGCTTGCGTTAAGAATCAACGTGGATATCATCCTAGCGCCCGTCGAGTCCCAGTGGTACGGGTGCCAGGAACTGCCGTTGATCTGCACTATCGAACCTTGGCACCGCGTAAGTCTAACATTTCCTCGGATCTTTTATTCTCTACGGGGCTGAAGACGCATTCTCGCCTCCGCTTAGCAATTCAGTAATCTTTCCCAAGGCTTGCTCATCTCCTTGTTTTGTTTCAGCTAGCTCCTCGTCAATCCATCCTCGTGTATACCCGCCCCCGAAATCAATCAGCCAGGCATTGTCTTGCTCGTCGATGATGATATTGCCAGGCTTCGCATCTCCCCATACCAATCCATTCTGATGGAGGAGCTCTATAGATTGGCGGATCTGACAAGCCCATTTCTGTCGTTTCTCAGCTGTAGCAGCTGCAACGACATCGCTGAGACTGCGTCCAGGCACCCACTGCCGAAGGAAGCCCAGGATCTGCTGGGTGTCTTTGTGGTGGATATAGCCGAGAAGTTGAGGTACTTTTATTGCTTTTGGTGGGAAGACTTTGAGCATCTCACTAAGACATTTGAGCTCTCGCGCCTCGCTAGTACCAAAGAGCCCACCTCCTCTACCACGCGACTTGCAGAACATTTCCTGGCCTTGCACTTGAACCGCAGCCGTGATAGTGCTCGCACCATGTTCAAAGACCTCGGTCACGGAGATATCCTCGGGCGTTAAACGAGGTATATCAGGGTTGAGTTCTAAATCTTCGTCTATGCATTGGTCAAAGACAGAATCAATGCCGATAGTGGTATATGCTTCGCTGGAGTCGATAGTTTTGAGAGAGACACCGCTTGTAGGAGCAGGGGCCTCCAAACGGAAGTGGAAGGAAGGAGGAAATAGGTAATGATGTAGAGATTTGCTCAAAGCCTGTTCATCTTGCGAAGATATCAGCTGGTAGAAAAGAGGTCTCCCAGCGTCAAGAATCACAGCAAGGACCTCATCCACAAGCTCCTCATACTCGTCGTCGTCCTGACACACGGTAGCCTTCTGTATGACATCAATAAAATGGTCCTGTAGAGGGCGATCTTTGTGTTCTTGGGTGTCTTTTGAAGACGATCCGTTGCTAGGAAATATGGAGACCGAAATTAAACAGCCATTGAATCCAAATACCATATCTGCACCCTCTCCAGTACCACTATGAAGTTCGTAGACAGCGATGTCATCAACTGCCTGTGTTTCCACCATGCTGCCTATTTTCCGACTTCATGAGGTGGGATGTGTAGGTTATGTGGTTGTGAGGATGCTTGGGCGGGGTATAACTAGGCGTGAAGCATAGGATAAGCACGCATGGTGAAGGGAGTGATATTTCCAGTAAATTAGTCAGCGGGCTTACTACGGAAAAGCCATAGCCGACATTGCAAGCCAGCCATTCCGGTACAGCATTGATTGCAAACATGAGAGCAAACCTGTCATCGATCACATCGGACGTCAGCTCTTCCGATGCCAAGCAGCATGTACTGACCGGTGAGAGATTGCCAAGAGATAATCTCCAATAGCGCATCTTTCAGCTGCGCCATTTCCTGCCACTGAGACAATGTTAGACATGGAAATACCAACTTTGGGAAAAGGTGCATAAAGGATGTGGAGTTAGTTCCAGCTTTCGGTACGAGATCGCCATAGAAACAAGCCACTCCGATTGCCGTCCGAGGCAGCCGGGTCTACTAAGTTTGGGCAATAAACTCTAATAAACTGCCGACGCTGGGTTATAAAAGAACACGCGGCCGCAATTCCATAACATGAGGGTTCTTCCCTGGAACGATGAGCAATTGGTCTTTTCTGTCGAAGTTCTTTACTTTGCATTCAGTTTCGGAGATCTCTAATTTATCCCGGTCACAATGGTTTCTGAGAATACTGCAACTCTGCCCTCAAAAGGTCGGTGATTGCTTGAACGTATGGTCCTTTCCGTTTTATTGACTGACTATCATCCAGTCTGGGCAACCTTGGTAACGAATGATGATTATCTCAAGGGCGTGCTGACGCTCAACTATCGTCTGAGATGCGTCAAGTCAAAGTACCCGCTGCTGGTTCTATACACCAGCACATTATCTCAAGCCAGCGTCGAGTCTCTTAAGCGCCGGGGTATAGCAACCCTCCAAGTACCACGACTCGCTCCAACAACAGCAAAGGAATACATCGATGATCCACGATTCAACGAGTGCTGGACGAAGCTGATTGCCTTCTCACTCACAGACTACACACGAATAGTCCTGCTTGACTCGGATATGCTACCGCTTCAGAACATGGATGAGCTCATGGACCTTGATCTCGATTCCCCGTCATTAAGCGTATCTGGAGATACAGCGCGTAGCAAAAGAGTCTTTGCTGCTTGTCATGCATGTACCTGTAATCCTCTGCGAAAGCCGCACTATCCGCCGAACTGGAAACCTGAGAATTGCGCCCTGACAACCCAGCATACTTCACCGGAAACAGCACAAGCTACCGGAGCAGATAACTCAACGGGCCTGGGCAAGCTCAACAGCGGACTTCTAGTCATAAACCCATCGAAAGTCATTTTCGATCAGATCGTCGCAAAGATGGATGAGGCTGGTCTCGATTATCAATTCCCAGATCAGGACCTCTTGGCAGATCTCTTCAAAGGTCGTTGGGTAGCGTTACCATATATCTACAACGCCTTGAAGACGATGCGGGATCCAAGCGTTCACGGAGTTATATGGCGTGATGACAAGGTCAAGAACGTTCATTACATTCTCAGTCCCAAGCCATGGGATGAGCTAGGTCCTGATGGGACGTGGAAGGGAGATAAACCTATTCATAAGTGGTGGATTGATGCGTACAAGTCAATGCGTGCAGAGGAAAAGACACTCGGAATCTCGTAAATGCATGTCACTTCACCTGTCTGGGCGTTAGGTAGAGCTAATCGAGGTATAAAGATAAAGCTCTTGACAAATTAAAATTCCTGCCGTGATATCATTCACTTTCTATCGACTCAAGCTGACCTCTGAAAGCTTCAATAGCTTTGGTCATGCGCTCCAGACCCAGCTTCAGATAAGTCGCTTCATGAGCAAACACAATCCGGAACCAGCCGGGTACATCGCTTCCAAAATCAGCACCGAGAGCCAAGAAGATCTTGTGCTGTAGCAAGGTGTCTTGCAGACTCGACTCAAGAGTCCTCAGTGCTTCGCCAGGACCTCCCATCCCTTCTTCCTGTAAAGTGACGTCGATCTGAGCGCGCAAGGGCTGGAATAGATCTGCCCAGACGAACAATCCCGCATTGGATCCTTCTTTATAGGGAATCTTTCGACTCTTGAGAAACTCGGTTGTAAGCTTATAGTTCTCTGCTAATCGCAATCGATTGGTCTTAACGTAGTTCTCGATAAATGCATCGTCGGAAAGAACACGTGCGGTCGTGAGGTCAGCTAGAGATGAAGGGCCAGAGAAGTAAGAGTTTGCTTCGCAAGCTCTTAGAAACGCTTCATTTCGACTGATGAGGCAACCTATCCTGAGACCGCATGAACCAAAGTCCTATCAAGACGTCAGTGTCTCTTGACTCTTTGGCTACGCAGTGCTATACCCTATACCTTGCCCATTCCCCATAGGACATGTAGGAGGTCTCTATCAATCAGACCATCCGGGTTGATAGCCAAAGCTGATGTAAACTCCGTTGCACCAGGGGCTTCTGGGTTCTTCCAGACCGACAGAGCATATACCTCGTCACTGATGAGGTGTAGGTTATGCTTCTGGCAGAATTGCATATACGCTTTCAGAACCTCGGGGGTATAACATCGACCTGGCAGACGATTAGAAGAGAGTACAATAAGAATAAGTACATACTCACCTAAGGGGTTATGGGGGTTGCATAGCAAGAACACTCTGACCCGGATCCCTTGCTTTTCAGCTTCTTCCAAGGCTTTCTCATAATAGTTAACCGTCTCAATACTAAAGGGATCTACATCTCCAAACGAGACACCGACAATCTTGGCTCTATAAACGGTTAGATAGACTAAACTTGCTACAGCCAGGAAAGTCAGATGTTGACTCACTCAACTCTTTAGCCCAGATCGATAGGGAAGTTTCCATAGTGCGGTCGTGCAAGCAAAACGCCGTCACCTCTGTCGCAGAGCGCGAAGCCACTGAGCTCGATGGCCTGGCCTACACCAGATGTGACAATGACTTGATCTCTGGTGATGTCTTCAAATGGGCTAAAGTGGCGGTTGATGAATCTTGCGAGGGTATTTCGTAGACGATGAGAGCCTGTGAACCCATCACCGGCTGTTAGAGCATGACTATCAACACTGAACTATTGGTTGTCAGCATAACTGATGCTTCTGTCGCTGTCATTGAGCAAGTACATTCTGGGTGATGTGTCGAATCAGTTCTTTGTGCATCAATGTCTGCCAGGTATCAGTCTTGCATCATTAGTGTCACAATTGGCTATATACATTTTCAGCGACTCCGAGACTGATGTATCCGCCAGGGTTTGTTTCTGCGTGCCATAGGTCGTTGACTACATCCAGCATCGGCATCTTACTCGCCGGCGTCGCGAAAACCTCACCCCTCTTTGAGAGTGTTGCCTTTGACGATGCCATAATCGGTCAAGATACGAATACAGAGTAGCGCGGATATGAAATCAAGTGTAGAATTTCCAGCAATAAATCGCAAATCTCGTGCTAGATGATGCATAAAGCAGGTATTGTTTATTCATCGAGCATCTGTTTGAGGGCGATTAGGGCGCAATTCCGCCGAGTCCATGTTCTACAAAGGGCGCGGATGACATCACGAATAAGCAGCCAAGGCTTAAAAAGGATGACATCTGCAGGACTGAGATTTGACCTTTACTCAAAGAACTACATAAGTTATTATTGCCCGGAGAGGTGTGCTGCTCCTCTGGCATTGTAAGTGAATTGCTGGGTAAATAAAGTTAGCCTTGAAGTTCGCAACAGTGTAAGTTTCTCAATATCAAGACAGGGTTGCAAGTCTCGGCGAACTACACATGCGATCAGTAACATAATCTATCACTTTCCCAATCGTGTTTCTGCCCGATCTTGTGATACCTTTGATATCGGCATTCTGGTTTCAGTGCAAGAGGTTGCATGCCGATCATGTTTCAGAGCGACTCGTAGTCGGTCTAGTTCCGTTATCAAGAGCTCTTTGTCCGAGAAGCCCCTGTTGACATCACTCAGGCAACATCACGGCACCTAAAAGCTTGGCCCGGCAGTCATTGAACTCTTTCTACGCCACCAACCTCGTTAAAATGCCAAGAACCAGCTGAAACTATAGCGCACCCGTTATTGACTGCTAAGCCCAATATTTGGCGTTCGCCCAATATCGCAGCTTCGCTTCCCCTCACTCCAGTCCTCAAGTGCCGAAGCCCTGACCCTGTCTCCGACGCATTTAGCGCAAATGGTGCCATGTCGCTCACATTGGCGGAAGTTCCGGAGTATTTCTTGCCAACTTCCGAGACCGTCACCAGAAGGGCACGATGCTACCTTGATGCGTCTGATCGCCATCAGGGCACTGTTTCTTATTGGACATTGAGTTTGTCTGGTCGCAGACGCAGGACTACGCTGAGATGCACGTGGAAAAAGCAAAAGTGAGGTTCGCTAGAGCAAGAACGGTGTTGACTTTGCAGTGTCATATCGTCAGCCTCAGTTTTATCAAGTTCTAGACTTTTTGGTAGCGTCAGTGCAAAAGTCAATGCGTAGAATGACATTTTGGTGACAGCCGCCCGAAGCTTAAGCGGCCACGGACTGAGGTTTGTGGAACTGAACGGGTCAAATAGTTACGGATGCGTGGGGTCTAACAGACAAGACATGTCGCCGGCAGTGGAGATGGGTACGAAAGCAGTCTCTGGGAATCTGCAACGGAATGATCCGTGACATGTCTTCAGTGGATTCGGCGCTGGAGAAAACCTGCTTTGGCGCTGAGACGAGACACGGCGGATCAATCCTAGAGTCGGCGCTTGAGACGCAGGGGCCCATCCACTAATGTCACCAAAATCATCATGCCCACGTTGCGATTGGTTGGAATGGTTCCTAGTATCTGGGTCCAAATGACTCGATCATCGCTATTAATTATTTTACTGTACTCTAAGTTACAAGGTATATCCATAACATCGCTTTTCCAAGACTCCATTCGCATTCAAGGTCGGTTCAGCCCAGTTTGATCAGTGTTTGGAAACGTGAACCGTCGTCTCATTCTTGACAAGAATGCCACCAAAGTTTGCGCCGAATTCTCCAGTGCCTGGACTTTGACCCGTGACTGTAGATGTGTACTTGTTGCCCGCTGGTCTGAACCGGTCGATGGCGTGGCTCTCAAAGTCTGACACTGAGCCCCGACCGCCGCCGTCGTCGGATTCGGCGAGTTGGTGTGTTGAGGAAGATTCGTCGTTGGGTGTGGATTTGTTGATGGTGTCGAGACGGATGGACTGCTTGGTTTGACTGCGGCCGTAGCTGTTGGGGTAGCTTCCTGAGCTGGCGCCGGTTCGGGTTCGGGGATGCGTGCAGGTGAAGATGTACGTGCACGCGGGTCGAATCGTGGGCAGTGAAGCTGTACATGTCAGATATCGTTGAGTGAGTAGTTCGAATTGAGGCGTACCGGAAACGTTGATCAGATTGACCTCGACCGTTGCCCAGATGACAATGTCGCAAATATTCCAAGTCAAATCGGCGGACTTGTCATTAAAAACGCGAGCAGCGACGATAAGTCGGATAGCGGCGGCGCAAATGCTGGTTCTGTCAGTAACTCCATCGATTGGCTCAATGTAAATGTCACTTACAAGAAGCCAAAGGTAAACATGACCATGATACCAGCTTTCTGAATCATAGGTAGCTGCAATTTGCCAATCTGCCACATTGGCAGGATCAAGATAGCAATGTCAATGGCAGCGTGGACCAGCGTCGTGCCAAAGAAGAACTTCTTATCCTCGATGGCGCAGTAGCCGCCTGCCTTGGAATCCCAGAACGCATCGACGGGAACACAGTGGAAGATACCCATAAAGATCTACTACCAATTAGCCTAGAAGCCTTGATTGATCGTGATGTACATACTCGGAAGATGATCCAGACGATGGCGCATCCGAAGAGGATTTGAATCGGGAGTCGGATATTGCTGACCCGGAACATGCGCCAGTAGAGACTGAGAATCGAGACTTTGGCGAAGAAGAGACCGAAGGCGTAGAAGAGCTCGGCGATGAAGAGCAGAAGTTTCGATTGATACAATGCATCTTCCAATGTGATTTTCCTCATTTCCACGACATCCGTAATATGTAGTCCAAGACCATGATTGACCCCTTGGCAGTGTTAGTATCGATATCGGTCGTTGGTCGTTATGCGGGAACCTACAGTAGGGAATAATAATGATCCAACCAACAGAAATCGCCTTAAAAACCGTCAGCACTAACAACCTCACTCACAGCAGCTCAAAAAACTCACATATCCACAAAGAGCAAAGTAATCATCCCAAGACAAAGGAATTCTCTTGAGCCGACGACTCAATAACCGAAGGATAGTAATAATAGTCGCAGCAGCAAAAGTGACAAACAGCACGACCCAAAGGTCCGTCTGCTTAGACTCCATCTTCGCCATGTCCCCCCGTCCACGGAGGCAAACAGCAAAAAAGAGCAAATACCTCCGCGAATCAAGGTTTGTAAAGCTTATTGCTCACTCAGTTCGTCAAGAACCAGAGGGGGGCAGCCCAACCATACAGAGCTGGGAAGAAAAGAGAGAGATGACGAGAAGAGCGAAAGGACCAACGCGAACCCGAGAGGATGGATACAATGCGAGAGATATGTATAATTACGCCAGGGGGGGAGGGAGAGGGTTCCCCGAAAGGAAACATTTTAATTTATCTATTCGAAACGAACCGGTATGTGGACCTGGGAACTAAAGGGGAACGCAGGTAGCTTCGAAGCTTGCGATGATCGTGTCAAGGTCCCCTCGTAAAAAATACAACTTGGGTGAACTTCAAAGCGCGCTTGTAGGCCTCAACGGTTGTGATCGTCGCTGGATGAGGTCTAAGGAGTCGGGCTAGCAGACTAGTCGGTTCCACAATGTGACATTCGACGGGTCCGTCGGCTTTTTTAGGACAAGACTTGGTTATCCCGTTCTCGGTTTGGTTCTTCTCTGCTAAGTTGGTAGCGGCAAGGTTGGCTCTGGGCTCTGCGGGTAATCTCTGGGCACACTCGAAGGATGCGCTTGGAAAAGATGAGGTGCATGCATTGTCACATCGAGATTCCACAAGTGTCAGGACCCCAAACCTTGTCATTGTTTGACAGTTAATATCGGTAGTGGACCATCTCGCAGAACTCAATCTGCGAGTAATCTTCACGTGGCATGTCAGCATCTTCTGACTCTCTTAACCTTTCTTTTTGCAGATACCTTACCTAGTGTAATTTATAGTGAGGCAGACGCTTCTCTGCGCTGGCGCCATAACCCGCGCTAAACATCGATAGCATCAACACGGGTTCGTTCCCGCATCAGCTCGTAAGGCTAAGCAAAATTAACAAGACCCAGAATCTACCGCGGACGCCGCGCGGGGGGGGACGGTAGTTACGCGGGTGTCGTGCCGCAACCACAAAAGAAGGGCTTCCCCTACTAGCCCAGCGGATACTGGACTTCCGGGGGGGCGAGGTAGGCTAGGCTAGCTTCAGGCCCAACTGTAAGGTAGCAATGCGAGGTTTTGCTTCGGTGAAGATCTCAGAACCCAAGATTGAGGATCCCAAGGGCCTGGGCCGGATAAAGAAAAAAGAGAGATCAAGCGTAAAAAGCAAGGACTGAACCCCTGTGAAAGTGTGTGTATCTTGCAATGCGTCGGCTTGGCTGTTGGTTCAGGGTCTTTGCTCACCGCGCCAGCGCGTCTAAACAAGGTATCCAATCCTCTTACCCAATCGCCCCGAATCCTCCAATCAGTTATCATTTATACATAATGGAGATAAAACATCCCGAATAATCGGGTATGCCACAACGGCACAACGTTGGCTCCTTGGCACAACGGCATTTTCTACCTTTCTTCCTCTCATGTCTCATCGAAGCGTGACCTCCAACGTCGCAGCGGATCTGGGGTCGTCTAGTTTCGGAACGGTTTAGACCAGTGGACCAGCCAGTGGGCTATGGCCTAAAAGCGATGCTACACTTACCGCAATTCTCTTGTGCAGTACGGCAAACACCGTCTGTGGAGTTTGCCTGAATCCTTCTGCCAGAAGAGGAAGATAAGCGTCAGGGGCGCGCAGAACGGGATGCGGTCTGTGCTTGACGTTGCATGATGAGGCTTCATGCAGACAAGATCATCACATCCAGGCAAAACCACAGTTTCGCCTCTCAAACTCTGCTAGCATATCACCCTTCCTCACAGATATTAGCAGCTTTTAATGCCTAAAGACCCCTAGAGTTCAGAAGCCGTTGAGACTATGGGCGGTTTGTGGGCGGGAAGGGGGTTATCGCTCCAGATGAGTAGGGCTATCGCGAGTCAGAGGCAGTCTAGTACTCGAAATGGCGGTATGCCCCGAGACTAAGGATTTACACCGCGGACAACGCGTTTCGAATGCCCACAAGCGCAACCAATCGTCTCACCATCAATAGTCATCCATTCCCCTCATCGGCTCCGCTCCTTCATTCGCCTCAAGGGTCCTGACAGCTTTACAAAATTGCATTTAATAAATCCAGCCCAGGAACGGCCCGTAGTACAACTTGGCACTTAAACCTTCTATTACACTTTTTTACTACTGCACAACATATCAACGCCTCACCCAAATTATAGCAATGGCTCCTTCAACTACTACCCCCGATCTCGTCCCCGAGCCCGTCTCCAAGCTTCCCGAGCGACCCAAGGAGGATGGCTCCGCCCTCAACGAGCACGAGCGGGATGAGCTTGCGTTTGTCGACAAGTACAGCGCCCCCGATGTCTATATCAACGCAAAGACCGATACGCTCTGGTTTCCCTGGATCGGACCCATTGAGCTGAAGCCCATGCGCATGGAGAACAGGACGGGTACTTTCGTCGTCGGCCTTCGATCAAAGGTCGCTGCCAGCCTGGGCAAGCACCGACATCGTGGTACCGTTACAGCCATCACCATGTCAGGAGAATGGGGCTACAAGGAGTATGTTCCCCCGTCCCCTAACCTTGTACGAGATTGAGATGCTAATCTATCGCGATCCAGATACGACTGGGTTGCCCGACCTGGAGATTGGGTGTGCGAGAACCCCGGCGTTATCCACACCTTGTCTGTCCAGGACGACACTGATATTGTGTTTACCATCACTGGTAGCATTGAGTTCCTCAACGATGATGATACCTTGAAGTTCACTCTTGATCTCTTCAGCTTCTCCAAGTTGTATTACGACCACTGCAAGGAGAAGGGCATCAAGCCCAACGATGCTCTCTGGCACTAAATGGAAATGAATAACGGTTGGGATGGGTTGGTTACGGCATATAGCTTTGCATGATTTTCGCATGACAGTCTCCATGAATAACAAAGGAGATATGAACAATGAATACTATTGATGATAATTGTATCCTGGTGCATTATTCGGGAATGCCGTGATGTATTGGCTTGGCAATAGCGGTGAGGCCGTTCTATATGCCGAGGTATATGACCAGGCCACGTGATGTCTCATGATCCTGTCTCCTATGCATTATGTCCTAGACTCAAACAGTCTCTAAAACACGGGAGATCATTTCATCAAAGGTCTCATCCTGAACCAGACCAAGCACTTTCATCCAATGAGCTGCTTTGTCAGGGAAGTATGTAACAGGCGCATCGCTGTAGACTGTCGCAGTAGCTAGCTCATAGTACCCTCTGCCCCAATTGCCTTCTTCGATATGCTTTGTTGCGCGAGCGTACAAGTCCTTGTTATCCAAGTTCTCGAGTTGGAACTTGATGCCTGAGATTCTCTCGACAGCCTCGATGACTTGGTTCTGAGAAGTATTGTAGGATGCGACGTGAACATACTCGTTCTTGGCCTTGTCTGAATGAAGGAGTGCGGCAGCTGTAACTTCGCCGACTTGTGATGCGGTTGTAGTGGTGAACTTTGGTTCGCCTGAGTCGACAAGCTCACCAGTTTTGGCCTTGACGTCTAAGCAAAGTAGCCCTTTACCTTCGACCAGCATCTAAGACTTCGTCAGAACATTTCTTAGCTCTGTCACTTCATAGTCCACGGACTCACCCAGTCAATCCAAGGGCCCGTGAAAATCGCTGTCCAAGACAGCCCGTCTGCTTCTTTAGACTTGACATAATCCATAACGTCCTGTTTCCCCTTAAGGAAAGGCGCCATCTTCTCCAGACCATCGACAGATGTATCGCTTCCAAACTCGCTTGGCATGAATCGCTTGACCTTTGCAGCTGCAACGGCATCAATGACGACCTTTTGCTCTGAGATATTGGCGGTCGAAAGGGTAGAGATGACAGCATCTTGCCCAGTAAAGACTTCAACAAGAGATGAGAAAGTGTAGTCGGACTTGACAATTGCAGCACCCAAGAATGTTGAGTCTGTAACGTTGGACGAAGTGCGGCTAAGGATGGAAACGTTGAAGCGTGCTTTGACAAGTGCTCTGATGAGATATGGCCCGAGATTTCCGCGACCCTTGTCTTTGTTAGCCAGTAATTCAATGTCCCAAGAGGATGTAAGAAGAGAGACTCACTCCGAGGACCATGACGTTCTTGATCTCAGTAGACATTGTGAAAGTAGGGATAAAATAAAAGATGTAGGGTAAGTAGATGTTTGAGTTGCAAATGCAGGTCAATTGTGCTTGGTGACGTTGCTACATGACTGGAAATGCCTGGAATACTTATAGACTCCCAGCTCACTATAATGTATAATCAGATGCAAATGATTTCTCAGCATCGAGACATTTCATCATTGTCATGGCCTCGATCCAAGCTCATCTTGTCGTGAAGACGGTGGAGTCTAAGCCTCTTTTAGCCAGCAGGTGGAAGCTAAACTATTTTGGACTATCAGGTGGAGACTAGTCCTTTTTGGGGGCACGCGTATCTGCTGCTGATGATTAGTCAAGCATCATTCGAGTATTCCCTCATCAAAGAAACACTCTCTTCCCATCCGAAGTCATCGGTTATAACACATAAAGGCCAATACAGAATGGGCTTCTTACAGAGATCGTGCCAAGCTTGTGTCAAAGCCCGACGGCGCTGCAATCTCGCGAGTCCCTGCTGCGAGAGATGCTCCACCAAACGTATTTCCTGTCGTTACGCCAATGAGCCAGCCCCTGCGCCTATGGTTATTCACGAAAAGACACTTAAAAGTGTTGCCAAATCTCAAAAGCTCAAGGGAAAACAGAGTTCCCAGAGCTTGTCGCGTTTGTTGGCCCATGGCGCCCTGGACACAAGACTACAGATCTACATTCGACAAGTCCTCTCAAATGATTACTATGATGGTTCTCGACCTCCTCTGGCGGAATCAGACCTGGCAAGGTTACATGGTCTTGGAGTCATGAGCAAGCCAATGCATAATGGTATCCAAATCTTTAATCCATTGCATCTCGAGATTGTGCGGGTGTTTGATCAGGAGACGCTTCACCACTTGTCGGACATTCTTCGAACCTTTCCAGGCCAGTTTGCGGAGCATGGCAAGACCTCCTTCATCCACTCTGCACTATATGATCCCTCACTACCACTTCCACTCAAACAAGTTCGCGATGTCTGCTACAGTTATCACATAGCGGGCGGTTATCTCGCTGACAGTCGCCTCAATGCCCTCCGCCTTACAATCAGACGCCTCCTTCGCTTATCAAAACGCACCAGCACATTCGCAGACACGCTTGCATACGCACAAGCAATAAGCCTCGCGCAAATAATTCGTCTTCTGGAGTGCCACGACACAAACGAAGATGAAATAGAACGCGACAATGAAGAGATGTGGGCGCTTACCCACCAATTATGGCAGCGTGCTCCAACTCAACTACCCAGCTCACTAAGTCCCTGGAAAGCGTGGCTATTCTCCGAGAATGTCAGACGGACTATTATGGTTTGCAACATCCTTTTGGCAGTGTATAGTTCGCTGAGAAGGGGATATACGATGCATTCACTTTGTGTTGAGGCTCTACCGTTTGATGTGCGGACAAAGCTTTGGGATGCAGACAGTGAGAGTGCTTGGGAGGCTGCCGCTTGGAAAGTTCCGGGGCCTTATTTGGTCACGTTGAGTCAATTCACAGACCTTCAGCAGCCGAGAGTTGGTGGCTCACGGTTTGAAGATCTTCTTCTGCTCTCATTCAGGACATGAAGGACAGAGACGACTTCACTGGCTGACCATATTCACGTAATGAGAAGAATTTGGTACTTTGACTATCAAGACATGAATAATCCTCATCAAATAAACCATCAGTCTCGTCACCATCCTTCATCAAGACGCTTAGCAAGTGCACTTGGCCAAGCAGAGAAGAGGGATGTTAGGGTCTGTCTCGCATTTACCCTGGAAAGCGCAACTTCCACCAGCGCAGGCTGACTTGCAAGGCTCAAGAGTCTTTGGGTCGGAGTAAAACAGGCCGCCGTTTTCACAGGTCCTATACAAAGTCAGCAGCGGATTCCCAACAAGGTCTGCTCGAGAATGACATACGACTGGGGAGCCGCGATGGCAACGGTGGCGATGGCTAGGATGCTGAAGATGGAGAACTGCATTATGATGGTTGTGATGTGAGTGATTAATGGGAAGGATAGAGGTTCTTCGGGTCGTCGGTGTCTTTTATATGGCGATGTAGCTATGTGACTTTTCAATTACTAGGATTGGATCCTTTAGCTGACCACATTCCTATTTCTGTGCAACCGATGTTGCAAAGGGGTTTATACCACCTTAATCTCACCTCATACATTGATTGAAGGATTTACCTGCCAATTGTAGCCTAGAGTCGCCTGAGAAGACTGTTACTCTGCATAAACACTGGGGACATATGCAGCTCTCTGACCACGACTCCTACCTATAGGTAAAGAGATATATGAGGCTATGAGATCAGTATACGGGTAGTGCTCGGCCATAATGTTCCGAAAGAATCCACAAGGATTCTTGCCGCAGAAGGATCTACTCCCGTACCTCTCGGGTTATGATCCGGGGCCCGTCCCGCTTTCTATACGAGATGCGCTCGAGCATACGACGCTGAGTGAGATCCATTGGCCGAAGTCCGTGATTATATGAGAAGGATTACAGCCCTTGAGTCAATGTGATCAAAGCTTTCAACCCATTTGAGTCGGCAACAATGACCTGACTTGCTTGTGTAAATGTCGTTCGAGGCCAGAAGCGGAGTTATGCTGCATGACATCATATTTGGGGCCTCCTCACCACCATTTTGAGACAGCATTACAGCCAATACTGTTATCAGAGACTTTAACCAGGCTAAGCATCTGGGCTATGAGCGCTGAACCTCACTTATGAGTCAATTGACTCACACTGATTGCGATAAAGGCGATATCATGCCGGTGACACTCCCGGTCTCTAGCCCCAGACCGGCCCGAGTCTTCGGAACCGGCCTCTCGGAGCCGATAACGAACCCTTAAACAGCGCCTTCAACTTCAGAACTTCCCCTCATCGATAACGCCCTTCACCCATCCCATCACCACAATGTCTTTAGCAACATATCATATTGAGAAGCCAGTCCGCGGCGACTTCGAAGAATGGTCTAAATTATTCCGAGCCTACATCGACTTTTATAAATCCAAGATCGACGAGGATCAATACGCGCGAACTTTCGACCGCATCATCGAAGAGGAGAATGGACTGCAGGCGCTGGTCGTGCGACAAGTTAGAGGGGAGGAGAAGAAATTAGTTGGAATAGCGCATTTCTTTCCGGAGCAGACGCCTTGGAGCGAGAAGCAAATTCTTTTACTGAACGGTAAGTAAAGACTATCGCTTGAAGAGTGGGGTTGACGTGATAGACTTGTTTGTCGACCCGGAAGTTCGTGGTGAGGGTCTTGGGAGGAAGTTGACGCAGGCTGTGGCGGATTTCGCGAGGGAGAAGGGGTTTATGAGGGTGCAGTGGGTTACCAAGCATGATAACACTGCGGCACGGAAGCTTTATGATACTCTCGCTGAGAGCCAGTTTGTTCAGTATAGAATGGCTTTGTGATAAAGTTACCTCATCTAATACAGCACCAAGTAATCCTACCTTCATGAAACAAGCGTGAATTTACTAAACTTCTGCCATTACCCTGGGTAAAATCTCTCGCATGACCTTCCCTTTCCTCTTGTACTTCTCCCCAACTTCTGCATCCAGCCAAAATCCTGCTTCGGTGATAGATCCACGCATGATGCAGTGAGGAATATGTTCCAAATCATCTGGTTTAATGGAAGATTGTCTGACAACATTACCCCTCTTGTCACGAAACACGAGAAGCACTTCTTCCTCCTCAAAAGACTCTAGATCAAACACCAGTAACCAGCAACCGGAAACTGCAACACGGGCAATAGCATCCTCATAGTCGTCCTCTTCAGACTCTCGTGACGTTACAACGGCTGATACTTCCTCTTTGACCTCTGCTATATCTCCATCATTGAAGGTACGGCAGACTTCTGATGAAGCGAGTTCCGGAAACCTATTATATATGTTCTCCCAGCCCTGATCACCAGTATCGAAGAGTGAGGCATCGTCGAGGATGCGCCACCAGTGATCTTCGGTATCTCCGAACAGCTCGCCGAGAGGATTGTCTTGTTCAAAAGCAGCTGCTGCGTCGTAAATCCATCGACGAAACTTGACATCGTCATTGAATCCACCATAGAATGTGCGTAGGACGACCAATTTCTCATATAAGTTGTTACCAGGGAGGTATTTCTCTGCTATACGACGAAGCTTCTGTGATCGCCACGGAACGATAACTATCTGAATCAATTCGTGCTTGTCGTTTGAGATGCCATCAAGAGTCGAAGATGCAAAAGCCGAGATATCATCCTCACGCAGAAAGGCTTGTATAAGCTGGTCTCGTTGTTGATCCATAGGTAGGGATGAAGTTGAATCCCATTTCCTCTGGCCGAGGTGTCAAGCAAAGTGGATAATGCTTAGAAGAGAGTACTTACAAGAAGATACTGCTCGATAGGCAAAGCCCCAAACGTGGGACAGATGCTTCCTTGGTATTGACTCATAACTCTGGTCTGTTGTGGTTTTCCAATGATGTGGCTGAGATTTCTGCTGGGTAGCGCTTGGTGAGAATTTAGCTTGTTAAGTTACGTGATCACATCACTTACTAGTGGGGCAAAAGGGTATGCTATGGGGAAGTTAAACAGACTGTTGCTTATAATACGGGACGACGCGGGAGCATCGTGGTCTCTCAAGGAATCAACTGGACCGAGTTCTACATCAATTCCACCTGGCCGGTATTCTGTCTGGTGTCTACCTAATGGAGGGACTGTCTGTCTTTAACAGTCTAGAGAAATCACACCCAGGAAAAACTTGCATTGTAGCGGTTAGGAACATAGCGACACGTGTATTGATAAGTGTATCAGAGTAGTAGGGCTGGAGGCGTCTCATTTACAAGTAGCCCCTGATGATAGGTCAATTACATCCATCTTCACAAAGTCGGAGTAATTCCAGTAATCGCCTTGCGTACCCTCGCCATCAACCGGCTCATTTCCAAAGAACTTCCAAGTCCAGTAAGCGCTTCCTCGAGTATATGCAGCCCAAGCCTTGAGGCCAGTGTTGAGACTCCGCGCCCGACTGGCAAACGTGTTGTTGGTTGCAGCCTGGATGGACCACTCGCCAACAAAAACAGGGAACTTTGGTGAAGCAGTACTAACGGTGTTTTTGGCATCACTGCAGATAAATTCGGCGAGATTTTGAGACGTAGTCGGGCGGCCAGCGAAGTAATAGTTGTGGACATCAAAGACGAGATTAGTGCTAGCAGCGAAGTACTTGGCCCAGTAGTCGACGGGTCGAAAGCCACCCTGAAGCATGATGGGTATCTTGGGGTTGACCCTTTCAACGCGCGAAATGACGCCTTGGAAGTACTGAAGAACCCAAGTAGCCCCTTGATCACTTAATGCTTCTGGCGTGCCAAACTTTGTAATATCTCGATTGTCAACCGGCTCGTTGATAGGGGCCAGGGTAAACCCTTGGGGAACATCGGATCCCTGGATGAATTGGATGGCAGCGTCGACCGCATTGTAAGAATATTCAAGAGCGGTCTGGTTCTGGAACCAGCCATAGTTCCCTTCCTTTTCACCCAGCCCCATGCCGTTCAGACCTCCAGGGAGCGAGTGAATGTCGAGGATGACGTGGATGTCATGCTTCTTAATAGCGTAGTCAGATATTGCTCTGAGAAAGCGAGCTTGATTTCCACTGTAAAGCTGGGATCCTGGAACAGTGACCCAAGCATTATATCCAGTCGGCACCCGGATGACGTTGATGCCGGCTGCAGCCATAGTGTCGATATCTTTTTTCGTGATGTAAGAGGCGTATCGCTGCTCTAAAACAGGACCGCATTGCGATTTGAGCTTTGCACAAAAATCCCACTCATCAGGTGTACCAGGCGCGTACTGGTTCCACCACTTGGGATCGATTACGGCTTCCTGATGCAGCCAGCCGCCAAGGTTAACTCCATTAGCTTTAAAAGTCTTCCAGTTGAGGTAGTTGGAAGGCGGAGCGGCGGTAGCAAAGCTACAGGAGAAGGCTGTAACAGAAGCAAATGCCAGGAAAATCTTCATCGTTGGTAGGCGTGGTCCGTGGATCAAGCTTCTGGAGATTGAGTCAAGGTGAAGAAAGGGCTGTAAAGGAACCAGAGTTATTATTTTGGGAGTAGTTAAGGGAATCAGACATTACTGGACCTTTTATAGAATTATAGTAGACTGTTACGGCCTGCTTTCTCGGTCTATTTAGCACCGAAGATGCCAAGTTCATTTTGTCTTATATCACTTTACCCTTGATCGAACCAGTCTATGTATTGGTTGAAACTCTTTCTCCGGTTAAAAGAGTCCTGTAAAATTCAATGCTCTATCGGCATAGTGACATAATACTATCCCGAAGATGCAGAAATGTAGTTAGATGTCCCGGAAATGGTGCGGTAAAGTGGAGTCCCTTGGACCGAAGCGGGATGTCCACATGCCGACGCAGCTGTAGACTGCAGTGATAATAGTCATGAGTTGAGTGCTTGATTCATGGTAACAAAAAGGACCTGTAGTCTGCATTTCTCATTTGAGATGAGAGTGATAAACCTGGGGTAATGCGGGGAATCTAGGGATTCACATCTCCAATTGGAATTTATGAAAGCCGGAGTTCTTCCCTAAACCCGGCTTTGGCTAGTTCT